TGCCCCCCTTTTATTACAAAATCTTTCATTACAAAATCACAGGCATGTAATTCTGTAACATAATATCACACTCAAGCACACCATATGATATCTTAGGTGTGAAATGTTCGAATTAAAACTATAAATTATTACACCTATATTACCCCACCAACTACACTCAAGCAGGTGTTACTTCTGCCGGACCCTGTGCATCAGATGGATTTGACGAAATCTGTTGCAGATCAATGTTAGCTTCTAAGAAAGAGCAGGAGAGGGAAATGAAGAGAGTGGAGGGAGAGAGGAAGTGAGGGGGAGGGGTGGGGGCAGAGAGAAAGTTATGTATTGGTTGGTTTAAGGAAGAAAAACGCTAGGCCAGTGTGACCTCAGGCCCAGGGAGAGCCGTCCTTTCGGCCTCCCCTGCTCTGCTGCCTTACAAAGGGGACTTCACATCAACCCAGGGCTCAGAGCATAGGTTCAGCCCTTTAGTCTTATACCCACTGACTCTGAATGAAACCAGGGAAAATTCCCCAACCAACCGCAGGGGATGCAGCTAAAGAGCCGGTAGGTCCACCTCAGTCTGAGAAACTGATGCTTCTGTGTTGTGAGGTGGAGCTGCTGTTTAAGAGTCGCCCCCCCCCCGCCCCCCTGGCCTGTGGTCCACACAGAGGGGCAGCAGGGAGGGGGTGGGGTGCGGCCGAGGACAAGCCCTCCTGGGAGCTGCGCTGTGTCCTCTGAGTGACGGCAGCCCTGGATCAGAAGGATGCGGACAGCCCAGGGGCCGGCAGCCTTTGTCCTCCCCGTGTTATTAACACGTTAGTGACGGTGTTGACACAACACAAGGATTTGCCAGCTCTGTGCCCACATCTTGGTCCAGATCCACCAGCAGACGGTTAGGGAGTCTTTGCTCTGTCCCAGCCTCGTGGAAGGCAAGCGGGGATTCAAAAGATCTGGCTGTTTGCGTCCCCTTTGGCCCCTGTGCACCGTCCACTTCCTTCAAACCACTGCCCCGTGGCCCACGTGGTGCTGAGCATCTTGTTTGGCAACCGAGAGAACGAAGAGTAAGAGAAGTTAAGAAACTTGCTGTCGGTGGAGCAGAAACGTGGGTGCAAACCTTCTGGTGTGTGTCCCACATCAATCACCGCCATCATCATCACTATCATTGGCATCTTCTGCAGGAGTTTTTAGTGCGGGACCCACTAGGCACCAGGCCTCACACTAAGCACTTTACATGCATCGTCTCGTGTTATTTCCCACACGAGCTTGCGAGGTAGGGGGCATCCTAACCCCCATTTTGGGAGGTGCAGAAACAAAAGTTAAGGTCAAGGTGAGACCTTCGCTAGGTCTTTCAGCACTCCAGTGCCAGAGCCCGACTTGAATCCAGTGTTCTGGCCACACAGCTGAAGCTGTTAACCCTGCTCCTCACCCTCCAGGTGGCTGGGCGGGAGGCCAGGCAAGGCGGGATGGTTCCCCCAAGAGTAACTGGTGGGACCTGCTGTAGGAATTCAGACAGGGATAAGGGGGTTCAGTTGGGGTCACCGGGGGTGGGGAGCACGTGGGAGTGGATGAGCCCTGATGGGGCGGTAGTAAAGGGGTCCCGGGCACACTGCATCTGGGGGCAGAGAAGAGATAGGCCAGCCAGGCCTGCGTGCCGGGTGCAGGCAGGGAGCCTGGGAGAGGGCGAGGCAGGAGCTGGGAAGGCAGCGACTGCGGAGCCGGGACGTTCACCCTCACTGGGCACGCTCCTTAGCCTCCGGGAGGCAGCGGCGGGGTGCCCGGGAGCAGGCCCTGCCGTGCTGACTCCAGGGCCTTTGTTCGGTTGTTCACCGCAGGCCTGCGCCCCAGGTAGGACTGTGGAGTCAGCAGCGGGAACAGGACAGGGAAGGGGTGGGGCGCTCCTTCCGGCTTCCGGCTTCCGGCTTCCGCCCTCCGCCTCTTCCCTTCCAGCTGCGGCCCCGCCCAGGTCAGTGGAGTACAAAGGGGCGCCAACAGTCCGTCCTTCCCACTGCAGCCAAGTCACTTCCTTAAACGAAAGAAACGTGAGCTCTAGCCTCACGGGTCTGCACCAGCTTTCCTCGCAGCCGGGGGCCACAGGGACCTCAAGCCTCCTCGCACAGCCCTCACTCGCGGCCAGAGTGCTGGCTGGTTGCAGGTCGGTTTGCCCTCCTCTGGTGGGGAGTTCGTTTACTCGGCAGGTGATTCTGGTGGCCTGGGCTCCTTGGGTTCGAGCCCCCCCGCCCCAACTCTCTGTGTATCCTTATCAGTCTGGCCTTTTAACACCTTGAAAGTAGCAAATACGCCTCACATACACTTATTTATTTAGCAAGCGTTTGGTGCATGTTATTTTCATTAGTAAGCATCAGTTAATCTTCACATGTAGAGTATCAGTTTGAAGAGGGGACCACCTTATAAGTGGTATCTGCCCGATCTCTTTGGCCCCGAACAGGTAAGTAGAGGCTGAAATGCGAAGACCTTGTATGCAGCTGAGATTTATTTAATTCTATAGCCTAGGAGGCACTATGGAAGGAACCTGAGCTGGGAAAAATGCCATCGGATTAGTATTTTAGGAAAAATGAACACTTCTGAGAGCAGTCTGGAGATTATACGAGGGAAATGTAGAGGGAGGGAGAGGAAGCAGGTTACCACAGTGATGGAAGGAAAGGACAGCAGGGTCTGAACTCATGCAGGGGCGGGGGCGCGGGCGAGGACACAGAAGGGGCAGCTGGTGCAGAACTTGAGGATGAGGGCTGGGGCCTGGGGAGTGACCGCAGTTCCCCTGGCCCAGCTTTGGGGGGTGGGCGCTGGCATCACCACCACGTGAGGGGACTGTCCTGGAGAAAGGGCCTTTGAGTGCTGGGCCGCCCAAGCGCCGCCGTGGCCGCAGAGCTTGGGCGGGATCTTGCTGCTGCCTCAAGTTCCCACGGGGCCCGACTGACGCTGAAACTTCAAGCTCTCGGCAGCTTTTTTTTTTTTTTCTCGTCGCAACTCAATAACTAGTCTACTGCAGGGATTTTTCTCAGAATGCGATTGTTTTCACTCAAGTGCTGCTAGAAATCACAGACTCTAATCACACACGGACAAGTTGGGGGCCTCCAACAGCCTGTGAGCGGGAAAGGGGCCTAAGGAGAGGGGGGCTCGGTACCACCGCTTCCCAGGTGCCAACACTGGCCCAGAAGGCTCCACGCTGGGACTGCCTGGGGGTCTTCCCGGGAAACGAAAAGTCCAGTCAGCACAACTTGGTCTCCCCTCACCCCTCTGCCCCCACTTCCCTGCAGAAAGCCAGGGAATGTTGGATATTGGGGGTGGGGGGGCACTCCACTATGGGGTGGGGTGCTTGTTTCTTCTGAGATCTGCACCATGCTGTGGTTTTAGGAGAAAATAAACGGGGAGGTGGTGTGGTTAGGCAGCGGGGAAGGGCTTGGAATAGTCCCCACACTCCCCCTGGAGGGCAAAGCCCATGCAAGGAGGACGGGGAAGCTCCATGGCCTCGAGGCTGGAGGGAAGTGGAGACACCAGAGGGGGTGCACCTGTGCGTGGTGAGGACTGAAGGGATCTCATGGCAGAAAGGCCCTGAAAGCCCACACAGGGGACCCTAGCCCCGCCCCTGGACTGCTGCCCCCAGCCTGAGGGAAGGGAGCATAATTAGGAGGCCGGCAGGGCAAGGCAGAGACCTAGCTGCTCCTGAGCAAACTCCAAGTCACCATCGAAAAGCAGAATCGAGAGCTGCGACTTTACCAGTGCAGTGTGTGGCTACGGCAGGGGTTTTGGTGTGTGTCCCCAAGAGCCCAGTGGACGCAGGAGCCCTGTAGTAAGGACCCCGAGCATCTGAAGGTTTGTCTGCCCGGCTCATGAGGTGCACCCAGGGGGAGGGATGCCTCTCTGGCAGGTAAGAGAGAATCGTGCCAGGACCAGGGATACTGGACTCGAGATCAGTGCGCCTGAAGCTCTAGTAGGAACCTCTTTTGTTTAAAGCCGTGAATGGCAGACACTGCGGGATCCAGAAGACCTTGTAGAAGAACCTGACCAGACAGGGAGCCCTCGGCCCCTGAGATAGGATTTTGTGGTGCGTGTACCAAGGCCAGCACCAGCAAGCACACTTCAGGGTTTGCAAATTTGAACAAGAAACAGCTGCTGAGTTGGCAGGAGCCCTCATCCTGCCAGCATGGGTGATCCCAGTGAAGGCAGGCCCCAGTATCCTGGGCAACGGGAACAACCCTCCCTCCCCGTTCCCCTCTGGTGTGCAGCCGAGGGCTTCCGCACTCTCCCTCCCAGGCCTGCACTGCTCCAGATTCTCACTCGGGTTACCCATCCCTCACAAGCTGGAGGCCCAGGTGCATGAGACGCCTTTACCTGCAGCACTGCGGGCCTCACAGCAGGTGACTCAGCTGGGTGCAGGCTGCTTCCCAAAGCTCTGGGTCACAAGCCACGTGGGTCCCTTCTTCCTTTTCACTGCACAGAGTGAGGCGTTAGGCTACTCCTGAGTTCAGCGTGGTGAGACAGGGAACCCCTGCAGGGAGGGCCCGCCACACGCCAAGCCTGACCTCAGTGGGCAGCGTGCATTGTCCTTCCGTGGGGAGGGGTGGAGGCCTTTGAGGACAGTCTACTACCTGGACCGTTTACACACCTGGATGTCCCATGGTCCAGGAGCATGGTGGCTACCCCCTGCCATGGCCTCCTGCCCATGGGCCTCGTGTGTCAGGGCCGCTGCTCCAGGCCAGGCCATCACCACCAGTGATTAAGAGTTGCTCTTGGTATTTGGTCCTACTCCAGGGGCGTGAGGTGAGGACAAGTTTGAGTCCCCCAAATCCCAGGATATGAGAACACAGATGCGCTTTCCAACACAGGTGTTTGGTGCTGCAATGACTCAGCAGCAGCCGAAGGGATCTGGTGGCCTCTGGGCTGCCTGGGACCCCCTCGCCTGCCTGCAGCTCTCTCGGCGAGCGTGCAGTTTCTGAGTTCCAGACCACTGAGCTCTGCGGCCCCCACGCCCATTGCAGACGGAAGAAGAAGCTATGAGGCATGAATAGTATCTTTAACATGATCTTGTATTTGGAAAAAGCAGTTAAAAAAAAAACACTTGAAAATACAAGGAAAGGTAACCGTGACTTATATAAGATTTCACCTTATATTGCTTGGCCTTTTGCACATATAAATTATTGCTCACTAGCTTCGATAAATACACAGCACAGTCCTATGTACAGAAGTGGAAAGCACGATGTCTGAGAAAGAAAATACTGTTAATGGCGATTCTGGTAATTCAACCGACGTTTCATATTCACCAGCTCTGGTAATGGTGGCAAACTATGGAATGCAGTCCCTGAGAAGTTAGGTAGACACCCTGGCCGCGGACTTGCTCTCTTCCACTGGTCACTGCGCGCCGATGAGGTCACGGCGGTCCTCCTCGGTGACCCGTGGAAAGGCAGGAGCCCCTGCTGCAGTCATCGATGCCGTCCCAGGATTCCCTAACAGTGTCACGTGAGTACAATAAATAGGTTATGCAAATAAATAGTACTCTGCTAGAAAACGTTTCGTATATACAGCTCTGCTTTTTACAGTAGTATATTTTCATCTAACTTTTTGGCAATTTTTAAAAACTCCCCTCCCCCCACCCCCACCAGTTTTCAGCACAACGGCCTGCTCGTCAATGGGCAGGCTGAAATTTTAAGGACGTGTTCGAAGCATTGAGAAGAAACCGCATGTGGACAGCTGCAGGGCACCTGACCGCCCCGTCGTAATGTCTGTGCCTAGTTCCCGAGAAGCTTGGATTGGTTGTGCCATTCAGGGTCACTAAGTCTGGGACTCATGTACAGGATGCTATAACAAGGCAGCAGGGGGGGGCGGGGCGGGGGCAGCAGGGCAAGCCAGCTCTGGGGGTCCGACGTTGTCATCACCGGGTCTCCTGTAACTGTGTCTCCCGCTAGGAGGCGGGGAAGCCTTACAGGGCCACACCTTTTCCTGCCAATTGAGGGGGGGGTGGCTATTGTACACCTCCCCCTGACTTGCCCATGGATGGGGGTCTGCGAAAATGAATGTATTCTAAATTTAATTAATGATACTAGAATCGAATGAATGCAGTCCATAATATTTACCGCGGCAACCATTTGGCAACTGTGTGGATGATAACCAAGAGTGAGTTTGAAACACTATAGTCTTCGGAGCATCCGTCAGTAGGTACAGGAAAAAAATACATCCGGGAAGGCTGCGATCTGGCCTACAAGAACCTGCCTGGCGCTAACTTCTAGGCAGGGCTGGCCCGCTGGGATGCCGGCAGACCCCAGACCCGCAGGACGGTCGGAAGCTGCGCTGCAGCCAGAAGAGCCACGCAGACGCAGCCGTGCGCCCCTCACCGGCGAAGGCGGCGGGTTACAGATGTTCAGGGGGGATGGAGATTTCACGAGGTCATGAAAACCTCAGCTGAAAAGCAGCGTGGATGTCCTCCAGTCCGACCTTCTAGCCGGAACACCACCTCCTCCACGGGGGCCGAGGCAAACCCTGGGGGAGGGACACGGCCTTTCCCCGTCGACAGGGAATCGCTAAGTCCCGCGTTGGCCGGGCCACTGTTGGGCAGCTCGGCTCTGTTAGGAAGAGCTTTGCGTTGAGTGATCCTGGCCCCCACGATTCTGCCCTGAATTCTTTAATTCCAGATTTACATCTGCTCAGAGCTTCTGAAATTTCTGAGAGCTGAAGCCCAGGAAATCTCCGGAGACAGCTGTTAAATTTGAGAAAGAGCCAGAGATTCTGGCATTTGAAAGATGGGCATGGAAAAGCAAATCTAAATGAAACAAAAGCCTCCCTTCCCGTCTGCCCCGAGAGCCACCGGGCCACGGGGAGGACATGGTGACAGGCACCCGCCCTGCCTGCCCTGCTGTTTCCACCCGGGCCGGGAGTCAGGCTCTGCCTGCACCTGCGGGCTGGGTCCAACCTTGATGCACATGGGGATCCTTCGGCGGCATGCACTGGTGAGGTGAGCTCTAACCAGCAGGTGCCGTGCTGACAGAGTTCGCTACTAGAGCAACTGAAATAGTTTCAGTTGGAGTGATGTAGGCTTCCCGTGAATCAAATTTAAATTGCAAAACATGGAGACACCGTCCAAAGGACCCTGTGTGGTTTGACGGGGCCAACGCTACGTCCCAACGTAGAGAACAGACCAGATCACCCGTGCACGTGGTGAGTGCACGCCATCCTCAGACACGGCCTGAGCTTCTCCCGTGTCTGCTCAGCGAGGAGAGAAGTCCGTCTCCCCGGTTCCAAGGCGCTGGTCTCCTCCACTGGGTCGGATTCCATTCCCTGCAGCCTGGAGCATCCCTCTAAGTGGGCCAGCCCTGGACGGCGCCTTTCCACAGAATGCTGTTAACTCTTCAGGACTGGAGTTTTAGATGCTGGGAGGGACTGAACCTGTTTGAAAGTCCTACCAAAGTAAATCTTCTCCCTGTGGCTGCTTCCATCAACCTCCCAGGCGCAGTGAGGTTCCTGAGCCCGGGCAGCGGCACGGCCATCAAGGCGTCAGAAAGCATCGGGCACAGCGCAGGAAAGAGGTGCCGATGAGACACAAGGAGCAGTTCTGCGCAGGCTCCTCAGAGAAGAACGGGCGGGAGCGGGGAGGAGTGGGCACCAGGGTTCGCACGTGTGCTCTAGCGACGTGACGAGCGTCTCGCCGGCAGGGGTGGACTTCGTGACCGCATCCAAGAGGCCGCTTTGTTCATGTGAAGGTCAAGGGAGCTGCAATCAGTCTTGAGAACAGCAGGCGTCTCGTTTACCAGAGCAGCCCTACTCTATAAAAATGGGCATAAAAAAGACTTAAAAGGCTGAAAAAATGGGAAAATTACAGGAAATCTGCTCTCCTGGTTGGAAGGTGAACAATGAATGGGACTTGTGAGAGTCCCCCATGTATCAGACATCTGGATATCTCGGGGCTCTTTCCATTCGCTGTAATACGGGTGAGCGCCACCATCTCATGGCCTCGCTCTTCTCTGGGGGCTGCTGAGTGCTCTGCACTTGCCGCCCCATTCACCCTCCCAGGATGAGCTGTAATCGCTGTGCAGGGTGTGCCAGGCACCTGCGGGGGCGGGCAGAACATGAGGGCATCGCCAGGCACCAGAGCGCAGACCTCTGTGACTCTGTCACCTCGACCACCAGTGACAGAGCGCCCAGGATGTGTCAGGCACCGTGCTCTTCCCCAAACCACCTTGTTCCCAACCAGAGACGAGAGCCTGCTCCCACGTGTAAAGAAAACCCCCAGAAATTAATGAGTCAATTTCCCTAAAGATTCCTATTGTTTCCTTATTGGCAAAGAGACTCAGCCTGACTTGCCCGTGGCTGCAGACGAGTGGTGCAGACACGAATTTCACTGGTGAGCCAGCACCTGCAAGCCATTGTGGGGGCAAAGAAGCGTGTGCCTGGCGTTGCCCTTTCGGAAGTCAGAGCACGGCTGCCCGCCGCTGGTCCTCGCTGACTCCCTGGACACGAGTGGCCCTTGGCGACATCACAGTTTGTATTGACAGAGACCACGCCTTCTCCCTGGAAATCTGGCGGTGCCATCACTTCAGACAAGCTCCTTCTTCGACAACCTGGAAACGACAACCTGCCACCAGGTAAAGCCGGGCAGCTTCCTGGCTCCTGCACACTCTCACTTAAGTGTCTGGTCACTGGACACCAAGACGCGCTCCCTCCTCTCAGTGGGGGCACGTCTCAGACTGAACATCGGGCAGCACCAACAATGTCAGGGTGAGAAACCAGACTTCTCCATCTCCATCCCAAGGGAGCTCTGACTCCCCTGTCTTCTCGTTCCGGGAGCAGTGAGGAGAGGCCTCTCCCCTCCTCTGGCGGCCGAGGTCACTTCCTGAGCACGCTTTGGTCGGCTCTCCTGTGCACTCTTGTGATGCACTGATAGAACTCAGCAACTTCGCTTCCCGCAGGAAAGGGGCGAGCTGGGCATCGACCTTCCCGCGGCTGGAAGTGCTGCAGTCGCTCAGGGAGGGGAGGCGTGGCGGCGGGGCGGGGGCGGGGCTCACACCCGAGGCTCCATCCGGTGCGAGAGCTCGAACAGGGCCTGCTGGCTGTCGATGACGTACAGGTGGTTCACGTAGGATCTCAACTCCTGGTGCTCTTTCGGAGACATGTCACCTCCTGAGTTTTGGAGGAAGAGAAAAGGCGGTCAGTCTCGTGAGGGTAGCAATGCCATTCCTCAATACCAGTAAAACCCCACAGTGACGCTTGGACGACACCTGCCAGGCAGACGCTCACTGGTCGGAATCGCAGGGGAGAAGATGCCTCTGTGCTCACGGTGGGGCGGTTGGTTTCCAGCATAGACAAGGTTCCTCCGGTCAGGTAATTAGACTGGCAAGATGTCTGTTTTACCGACATTTACACAGTGTGTACTACACACTGTGTAAATGTGGCACTACACAGCACTGAGTGACCGTTCTCATCTCCCTCTCAGAGTGGAAACGGGGCGCGCGCGCGCGCACACACACACACACACACACACACACACACGAGTGGCGGGGCGGGGCCGAGTCCATGGTCTGAGGTCCTGGGTCCCAACCGCTGCCGTTTAAACGGCCTTCACTGAGTGCTAAACTGGTGAGCATGCAGACACATAAGTTCTTTTTTTTTTTTAATCTCATTTAAGATTGTGTATAATCCTGTGGTGTCCTTATTTTTTGGAAAAAAAAAACCCCATTAAGGGACCAATTGAACAAACAAGTATCACAAAACTGAACCGAAGGTGAGACTAACAGGCAAAGCCGGCTCCGTAAGCTCAGGGACGGGCTAACGTCTACCAGTGAGAGACAAGGCGGGGGGTGGGGCTTCCACACCCAAACCCAGGCCGGTAAAAACTTGAAGGGCCGTGAGAGGCTTTGGTGCACTATGAACACGGGAGTCGCTGCTGGTGACAGCTCTGATAAAGAGCCAGCGATAAGGTAGCCTGGAAAAGGTGGTAAGTGCACTTCCCATACTGAAAGACAAACAAAATCCACACCCACCCCCCAGTACCCCAGGCACCGGGAGACCAGCTAACTGCCCTGGGGAGAGACAGCCCCATGAGAGCAGGGGCAGTCACGGGCTCCAGCTTTGGGGAGTTTCAGGCAGGAGGAGCAGCGCTGAGAGGCAGCAATATTTTCTCTGGGTGAAAATATGTGTTTTTCCTCCCCTGTAACAATGCGTCAGGTTAATGTAAGGCCTCTAGGTCATGGGTGGCTTATAATTCTTAGGTTTAAGAGAAACAAGACTTCCTGGTTTCAAAAAGTACAAGCATCAAAAGTTAAAGTTTTTACCATCCCCATGGTTTGAAAATGACCACAAAGCTGTGTCGTTCCAGGCGCCTTTTCTGGAAGACGCCGAGAGGCTGCTTTGGGTTTATCAAACACGGGACTACCAAGGTGATCATGCTGTTAAGTTTTGACCTTAAAAAAAGTTGATAGAATGAGTGGTTCCAACCAGGACAAGTGACATACGTGTGCACTTCGTCATCTATAAGGGGGCTTGGTTAGCACGATCTTTGTTACCCCAGACGCTGACCCTGGTTTGCTGTGCCTATAGAAACTGTCAAAACGAGCTCAGGTACCTCAGCCCCATACGCGATGTTCAAAAGTACAGAAATACACAAACAGGCCTCAGAGCTGCCTAAGTTTCTCCTTTGCTTTGTGCTAAGGAGACTTACTCTCTGGTGATGAGACAGATGTTCAGACAAGGTCAAGGCCAGCCGCGTCGGAATAACCTTCCTGCCCACACATGCAGCACATGTGGTGGGCAAAAGTCAGTTTACAGTTGTGAGTATGCAAAACACAGTTTATTCTTGTATCATTATTTATTAATTACTGTACTATGTTCCATATGAACAGCTGTAAACTGACTCTTGCCCCACTCTGTATTCAGAGTGCCTTCATAAACGAGTCTTTAGTCTTGGAATTAGCCGAGTGCCTGTAAATACTTGGGAAGCAGAGGAGGACGGAAGAAAGATGAACTCGTCGGCAACATCGCGCTGGCCCACTGGAGTGAACCTGCGTGGCTGTGTCATTATCACTGTTCCTATTACAGCAGCACTGTACTTGTGCACGCAATGGAGAATTATCCCCGCACATATCAAGTGGTATTAAGTGATATGAACACTCAGAAAATTAGGTCCTGCATTTACAATCCTCCCTCTGGAAGAGAAGCTGTATAATTCATACCGACGTTCAGCTGCTTGGCCAGGGGGCCATCCTACCAGCCAAGACCACTCCAGACGGAAAAGAGTCTCACGCATGCGCACCTACCCTCAGGAAGCTCGGCTCTGTTTCACAGCGAGGACGTATTGCTCAATGAAGGAAGTTTGATTTACTGGATGCCTTTGAATGATTTATAAGGACTGAACTCAACTTTCTGTCTGCTTGGGGGTTTGCTGCCCTTCTATCTACAGAACCTGCTCAGGGCAAGGGACAGGGTGCGGACAGGGAAGTCGGGCAGACTTGGCCCGATGCACGGCGGCCTGAGGGGCCCTCTGAGCGTCCTCTGGCCTGTGCGCCGCGGGGTTAATGAGCTCTGCCCACCGACCCGGGAGGCAGGGCCCCACTGCCCACGTGAGAGCTCGAGAATGCAGTGAGGGAGAGTTCCTTCCTTCCTTCCTTCCTTCCTTCCTTCCTGCAAAGCTTTAACACGATTTCAACAGAATGTAAACTGTGCCTGAGATTTAGAAAAGAACAAATATTCCTACTTACACTGGTCTCAGTGGGGAGTCTACAAGAGCACTCAGAAAAACACGTTTCCAGTGAAAGGCAGCCCCAGACAGGAAGTTTTTGTTGGAGAGGAGGAAAGGCTCTGGAAGGCTACATTTACAAACCGTGTTCCTGTTCCAGGAAGGCTCCCAGCAAGGAGGTTAGCGACGGGGTGGCCCCCGATAAACCCACTGGTAATTCTGCACCAGTGGGCAAGCAAACAAGACTCGCTGGCTGGGGCGGGGTGGGAGCCTCAGGCAGTCCAACACTGGGGCATCCAGCACGCGGCCCGTGACCGCATGCGGCCCAAGGTGGCTGTGAATGTGGCCAGACACAAAATCGTAACATTAAAACATTATGCGATTTTTTTTGTGATTACGTGCCACAGTGTATTTAATGTGTGGCCCAAGACAACTGTTCTTCCTCCAGCGTGGCACAGAGATGCCAAAAGGCTGGGCCCCCCTGCAACTTGCTGCCACGTCTTGTCCCCCTCTGCATTGCAAACGTGCGGTGATGAAGCAAAGAGAATGTGGTGTGTGTGTACCACATGCACATTATACCTCACAGTGCATTTCAGCCTATCACCACCAAGTACTCGTCACAGGGCCACAGTCTGCACCACTGTCCAGCACACATGCACGGCATGCCAGCTTCAATTACTCACCGAACTGGCTGGTCCTGCAGTGTCTCAGGGTTCGGACGGTGTCGGCAATCATGTGCTGGAAGGCAGAGCAGGAAAGAACAGGTCACTGGGAGGGCCCTTCAGGGTGCTGCCAAAGGAGCGTGCCTGCCGGGGACAGCGGACACGCACACCCTCGGGTGCACTCTGGAGCTGGACTCAGCTGTAACTGGCGACCCTGAGCTTGTGTGACAGAAGAGCACTGACTCCCGGTCTGCAGAAACAGCGGCTCCCAAACCATTACGTAATTCTAACGGAGCCGTGGGAAAACTAACTCTAAGGAAATGCAGCGCTCACACCCCCTGCCCACCTGTGCTAATTCGCTTAGGGGTTTCACTGCAGGGGGCAGCACCCCACCTCTTTTCCAGGGGGCCTTCCTGAGCCCCCCCTTCTGAACTTGGGAGGAGTCATCCTCAACATTGTCACTCTTCTTCGTACAATATACATGGGCTTGGCGTTGTCCTATTTGTCGTGTAACTTTCCTGTGGACCCGGTGCCGCCAGAGGGCTTCATGCACCCAGCGTCCACTGTCGGTCATGCACGTGAGCCACGCGCACACCTGCTGAAGGGAGGAAGGGATGTTTGTGGAATCGAAGGTTCACGTATCTCGAATGGTGGCAGGAGGCGAGACAGTCAGGAGAGGCGAACATTTTCTAAAACTCCTGTATCTTCACAAAGACTGTTTTCTGCTTATAATCTGCATTCTCTCCTACATGCTTCAGTATTCGACTTCGATGTCTTTCTTTGAGGTTCTCACTGGTCTCCAGGCAAAAAGACCTTCTTAAACTCGCAGCTGCCTTTGACCAGGCCCCTCCACTCCCCATCTGTGTGCCCGCAGCGGCCCCCTTGGCCCCTCCGTCCACAGGCAGTTTCCCATGACGAAGCAAACACAGCCTGCAGGCAAGACCGTGTTCCCCTGCGTCCCTCCCATCAAGTGGCCAGAACGGTCTCCAGACACTGCTGCCATCACGTTCTGCTTCTGGAAAATCCACAGCGACTCCCTGCTTGGTTTCGTATCAAAATCCAAACACCATCCCATTGTTCGAGAATCAACATTGTCAGCTGGACCCCCCAACCCTCTCCACGCGGCTCCTCGCCCTCCAGGCCTCGCGCACCCACCCCGAACAGCAAACACGGGCCCGCTCCTACACAGCAAAGCCTCCACGAGCTATTGTTAAAATAAAATTAATTTTTTTTTTTTTACTTAAAATTCAGCAGAACTACAGAAACTGTATTTGAACATGACCTACTTACTAAATTGTTCGCACAGCTGTCTTCCTACTCGATGGTGGAAAATTAAATAGGACAGTGATTACAGCAGTGGCTCTCGTGGCCTTTGTGAAGGAAATGAGAGCTGACTCATGTCTGCGAGCGCATTGTTGAGTTTCCTTTCTCCCCAGGGCACCGCTCTTCCCAGGACAGTCCCCTCGCTGTGCCGCACGCTGGCGTCACCCTGATTTCTATCGGGTGCCACGGGCGGAGCTGCCCGCGGGGCTCAGCCCCGAGGGCCGCGCGGAAACCCGAGTCGGGGTCCGCATGTGGAGGTGTTCTGAGAGAGGACGCGCTCAGGTAGAAGATGACGCTTGAGCGATGAGGGATAAAGAGGACAAGGAGGGAGCGCTTGTTTCTTCATCGCTGCGCAGCGTGACACTGAAACGTGAGGAGGGGCTGAGGCCTCGCAGGGGACAATGGAAATCTTATTAGAGCCGATGAGTGGTCCTGGGTCTTCCTGCGCCTGACTTATGTGTCGGCCTGCATCAGCCAGATAAAGATAACGCGCTGCATTATCTGCTAGCCGGCCTGAGCTAATATCCATCACGGGGAATGGGCTCCTCACAAGTTAATTCAGTTACATCCTATTGGTTCATTATTGTGAAAGATGATCCTCTTTTAGCTTAAGTGAAACCCTGTCCTGTGCGAGGAAATGCGCCTTGAAATACTGCCTCTCCTAGGAAATTCAGGTTCACTCCCCGGCATCCAAGTACAGCGCAGGGCTGTGTGCAATAGCTTGCCCTTCTACAGAATTCTAACCTCAGCCTGTCTATTCTGTGAGGGGGGGCGGGTCAGCGTGAGGTGTGCTGTGTCTTACAGGCCGTCTGCTTTGGGCCAGGAGCCCACTGTCCTGGGGGGCCTCACAGATAACTGTATTTATCTTCTGCCTTTTAACTAAAAGTTCTCTTCAAGAATTTAAAATTAAAAACATAATATTACTTAGATGTGCCATGCTATTTCCTTAAACTTTCTTCAAGAATTAAGGGTACAGATAATTAGTGGCCCTGGTAGAAGCACTCTTTGTTAGATTTTGTTTTAGGCCCAGGGGTCAGTTTGGAGTCCGAGCAGGACCCTCGATGACGTCTGCTGGCTTTCAACACCATTCCCTGGACTGCTGGGGCAAGCAGGGCAAGGCCAGCGGCGCTGGCCAGAAACACAGAGGGGAGGGTGTGGGATCTTCCCATCGCTCTCTCCCCTTTGTGCCATTACTGCATTGTTCTCGAGCTCTGGTAGCACTTATCTGAGGGGAAATGACAAAACGAACTTAACCAAACCACCGGTTCCCTTTGGGAGAAGGTCAGCCACCAGGCTGCCGAGAACAATGGGTACGCGTCAGCTCAGACAGCGCAACTGTGGCCCCGCGTTCCCTCGCTGAGTCAGCCAGAAGGAAAGGAACCAGACCGCTGCGCTGCGGGGAATTCCACTGGGTGGGACACAGCTCAGCCGCCGTCTTCACGCGGCTCTCCGGAGTGTACACGGTGTTCCTACCCTGGTGGACTGGCCAGGACTTGGAGGAAGCATTGGCCAAAGGCTTCACATTCCTGCAGTCATTTCATCAACACCAAACCCCAGAGCTTAATCTGCCTGGAAACCAGAATGTAGGGGCCACAGCCTTCACGGGCAAACAGGTGTCCCGTGCGCTTGAGAACGTGACATGGAGACACAGGACAAATCTGCAGAGAACCGGCCCCAGAAGCCCAGCACTCTGAACACCCGTTTCCAGCTGGGCTGGTTGGAGTGTCGGATCTAAACCGCGGGGCTCTGATTCCAAAGCACTTGGTGCAGAGAGAGGATTGAAACACTATAGATACATCCACTTTAAAAACAACCAGTCATGAAGAGATCGACTTCAAGGGAGTAAGTGGACCTACGGCAAGACAGGCTAAGGCATCTGCCTCCCAGGCCCCGGGTTTCGGGCTGGGCAGCGACCCTGGGCTGCCTCTGCCCGGGCGGGGCCAGGGGGAGCAGGGCACTCTCGCCTCGCGCGGCCTCCTCACAGCTGCCCGCCCCAGGCTCACAGGGAACCAGGGCCAGTTCCTGAAAGAGTGCTCACGAATCCATCACCATTACTGAAAAGGTCACTCAAAGGCCAGGACTTGTGGACAGGGGTCGCTGGTATCGTTTTTAATGATGAAGGACAATCTAATCTATGACTAAAGTTCATCTGTCAGACAAATCCATCCTTCTTGTCGGCCGGGTCCCTTTGGATCACTCCTACTGTATTCTTGTTCAGTTCTGACAGACAGCTGCCCTTCCGCCCTCGCAGTGGGCTGGTCAGGAAGGCCAGGAGGGGCCTCTGCATGCCCTGGAAGTAAGGAAGGACTGACGGGGGACCCCTAACTCATGAGCTGGGGGGCACTCTGCTCTTATCTCCAGTCCACAGGCTGGTAAGGGGTGGCCTTCCCCTCACACGCAGACCCTACCCATTCCACCTTCACATCCCAGCTGGGAGTGTGGATGCACCTCCCAGAAAGACAGCTTTCTCTGGTGCCAAGAAGCAGTGCATGCTGGGGCAGAGACAGACGACTTCAGAGCAGAAAAGCCTGCCCTCATGAGTGTGAGCTGCCCCCAGCAGGTCCCTTACAGCTTTATTTTCTTCAGTAACATAAACTCAATCGCTGATGTTACTCTAATGAAGTTCCATTTTTCAAAACAAAGAGATTTTTATCATTGTGTCTCAAAACCTTGCTAGCACACTTATTTTTAATTGGAGTACATTTTATTGGCAATGTACAGCATGCAGCAAATAAGCTCCTGGAAGTCACCGGGCAGTCAATGAAGAAAGTGCTTCACCCACTGGTTTCTTGGTGCCAAAAGGGAAAGAATACATTTAGAAAAGGAGAAATAACAAAATTTACCTACCAGCTTTTCGAAATTGACAAGATTATCCAAAAAGGTCTTATTTCCCTCGTGAATGAATGTTACATCTGAAAATTAAAAACAAAAAGATACACGTGCCATCAGAAATGGATCATGAATCAGGGCCGAGAAGTCTAGATGCAAGGTAACTTCCTAATTGTCTTCAACACTGTGAATTGTTCCATGCACTTGACAAGGCAACTTGACACTGAATCTGTACACTAGTCAGGGGGAAAGGGTAAACTGTGAGTGAGGGGAGAAAACACTGTAACATCAGTGTGAGTACGTATTCTGCATTTACCATGAAGTGTTTGACTTCAACCTGATCAGCATAAACACCACTGTTCTCCAACCCAACTGGCCCATTATGTTTTTAGGCCAGAACATTAAGCAGAAAAGAACAGAATCTCCAGAAATAGTAGGATTTAATATTTACATGTTTAGTTTTTTAAAACAATTTCTGGCAAAGCACAGGGGACCTGCTTGATTTAAAATGTTCAGATTTAGATTTACAAGTTTAAATTTAGATTTTTGGGGCTCTCAAAGTCAGGGCCTGATTGTGTATCAGAAGTGAGCAAGGAAAGAGGCAGGGTTGCAATCGGCACGGCTCCTGGCCCTATTCAACCGGTGGAAAGAAAACATCGCTGATGAGAAAACCTGAGGAAAGCAGGACGAGGGGTCATTGTCTGAGGAAGGGAAAGTCACGTTTGGCCGGAGCCCCACTGCACGTACAGTGACAGGAGAAATTCAAGTACAGCTCTCCCTGTGGCTGCCAGGAGCCCAGGAGTGCCCCCCAACAGACAGGGGTCCAGGAACCGGGTGCAGCCAAGGCAGCCGCTGCAGCTCTGGGAGTGGGCGACAGAAACACTCAGACCGGAGCGGCGCTGGCTGAGCGTTAGCGAATGGCCACAGACAAGAATTAAAGTGGGAAATGTACCACAATTTAAAGAGCACGGAGGGCAAACCGAATGAAAATCGTTTTCAAAAATCTATTAAGATAACCTGCTGTAAAAGTGGGAAATGAACAGCTTAAAATTCCCTTAAATAGAAAGGAGAAGCATTTGCATCTAATCAAGACTCTGATCTTGCTGGGTCCTGGGGGCACGAAGGTGCTCGGTGCGCCGACACCTGCCTGCTGCACACCTAACCTGGGCTGCCCGCTGGGGACGGCATGGGCCGCGTGGTCACACAGCACTAACGCAACCCTGTCCTCAGGGCGGCCCGCACTGCTCCCAGCACCCACTGCAGGGTTTGCCTCTGCTCTTTGTTTGTTTCCTTTCTTTTTCTTTTTCTTTGTTTTTTTTTTTTTTAACTGGTGTGCTAGCAGGAAAATGGTTCACAATTACAGTCATTTGACAAACTCTCTGATTATTTTACTACCTTTCATGATTTCCCTTTCAGAAAAGAGCCGCAAGTTTGCGTTGTGTCATGATAATTAGGAAAGAGTCGTCAACACAGGTCACTTTCACCTTTTCCGTGTCGCAAACAGAGCACCGTGTGACTCCGTCTACGTTAAACTCTCCTCGCTCCCTGAGAATTCGGAGGACAAACGCCCTGCATCCATCCGTCCATCTCCCCTGGTGTCACTAGGTGTGTCATCCCCTTCCCAGGCGCTGAGGATGACAGTGCGGGGCGATGAAAACAACGGCAGCTGACCCTGGCTAACAGCGTCAGACACGCCGTTAACTCACTGAATCCTCCCAGAAGACTTTCAGGTAGAGCCCCCGCGGGACAGAATGTGAAGAAACGCTGGTCCACAGAACACGTGCAGGCGACCCGGGATCACAGACTGAAGGTCACGGCCGGGACTCAGACCCAGGGACCCGCGTCCTCTGACCACCGTGTCTCTCCTTTCCTCACCAGCGGAAAGACTCGGGCTGTAAATTTCTTACAACCTGTCGCCGTCCACTTGCTGCATTTACAAGCCCCGCGGGTGCCCTGCAGCCGTAAGTCTCCTCTTCCTGGGGGGTCTCACTGAACCTCGACTCTCAGGACTTGTCCAGGTCAGGGAGGAGAGGCTGGGAGGAGGGGGTTCCAGGGACTGATGGTTTTGGCACTTGTAGAGGCAGGCGTGTGCAGAGAAAGGTGTGAGAGTGAGAGAGACACCAGTGGGTGGGTGGTTTGCGCTCACACTTTGGCATCTCAGGACCTGAGTCACGGGGTGTGAAGCTGCTCAGGCTGTGGGAAAGGGGCTCCTGCCAGGCTCCTTTTTTTACCCGGAGACCCCTGGGCGCTCTCCAGACACTCCGCAGACTAGAGTGCCGGATGAAATGCCTCCGTTTGAACAGGGGGCACGTGAAAGGGAAGAAACATACAAGCACCCTGATATTCCTTTAATCTAAATATGCCCCCCCCCCCAAAACGGCAACAACCACCTCCGCTCTAAGACACACACACAGCCCACGAGGACCTCGGTTTCTCTTCAAAACCCGCGGAGCGCTCACTCTGTGGGGAGGAGCCACCATCACCAACCCCCACGTAATACAGACCCACCACATGGCTGCTCTGGGCCTCTAGTCCAGCGGCGTCCTCCCCTTGATATTTACTTAGGGTTTCCTCGCGTTCTTAACAGGTTCCACACCGGAGTGGGGGGAAAGTGTATCAAAAGGCAAGAAATCAGGGCAGAAAATAGGGAAGCTGGTGGCTGAGAGGGCCCTCAGGGGACACGCTCAGCCCACACCCTGCAGACTCGCTGAGCACCAAGCACCTCGGAACAGGAGACGCGGGAGGCCCAGTGCCTCTCGGCACCGGGGAGCTCAGTCGGGTCCTTTTTCTCCCACCAGAAGGAACCCGAAGTAGGGAGTGGGGGGCAGGGGGCCATTTTCCTTAAAAAGCTGGCTCCTTTAAAGTATTTTACTGCAACTTTTAAGATAATTTTTTTTGCAGTTAAAAAAGACCTAAGAATTAATGTTGTTTACTTTCCCCAAAATGTCTTATCTGTGCATGATACATACATATTTCAAAATTTCACCCTATTTTCCTTTGGACATTATTTCAGACAAAATAGCAACTTTAAATATAATAGAGTGCTAGTGATGTTTATGTTTATAGTGACAAATAATTAAAGGAAAAAGTAAGTGCTTGTTTAACTCAAGAAAGCGTCTAAAGACAAACGTGTTTAATTTGCCAGGGCGCACGAGTGAATGTACATTGGGTAGAAAGAAAAGGAAGTCTGGCGTGCCGCTGACAAAGAGGTCTGGCTGGACTCAGCAGAGCAGAAAATTGCCTCCACCCCAAGACATGAGTGAGAGACACTTGACTGCAGTGAGTGTTTTTTGGGGGGAAAAGCACTAACACATGGCAGAGAGCTTCGCTCATGTCTCATTACGTAAAAGGGGCACTGTCCGCAAATTTCTCATCCCCTTAAAAACATTTGTTTCAAAACTTCTCATTCCTAAAGTAAACTCCCTTCTAAGACCTGTTCTCATATTCTTTCTCCTATTTGTGTCTCAGTGAGTCTCTGTGTTACTTCCCACCTGCCATACCCCTGTCCTCCGGTTCTCCGTTTAGGCTTATTTGCAAAGTAAACCTAAATAAGCATCTTATAAAGAAATAAATACGTAGAACCAAATGAACCTTTACATTATTTTGATATCACAATCTCTCCTTTATTTCGTCCGTTCGCATCCAGCAGAATCTCTGCAGTTTCCGTGAAGCCTGCCTGCGCCCCTCTGCTGTCCCGACATACTTCTGTCTCTGTTGTTTCTCAGGGACTCCCACTTCGCACTCGATGAGGACTACACGACTCGTGCGCAGCGACTCAGCCACCCTCCAAGCTCTGCTTGTTCTTGAGAGACGCTGAAGAGGGGAACTCAGCTCTACCGCCGGCTAGCAGGGCCGGCAGTGTGGGGGTCATGGGGGGGGGGCGCGGGCCGGCCAACCAGCAATCCAGTTCCCATGTCACTCATTGCCAGAACCACATTCACGGGGCCAGCCATGGAAACCCGACCCGGCTGAAGTGACGAGTCTCTGAAGAGCAGAGGCTATATAAAATCACATTTCTATAAAATCCCGTGGAATCAAAATACAGCCAAGAAAAACGACCAAATCCCCTTTCCCTGGAAAGCACACAGGTAGGAGCTCGAGCCAGACTGAAACGAACTCCCCCTTCGTGAATTCCCGAAGTCTGGAAGAGACCACTGAGGTCTCATCTCACTAGTGATGTTAACTAACGTGTCTTGTATAAAGTGTCTGCTGTTCCGCGGAGAAGGCGGGGGCTGGCCCGGAGTGGTCACCTTCTTTCCCAGACGGCTTCCATTCCTGGGAAGCGGGAAGTCCCTTCTTGACCACAGGCCTTTCTCCCGCGCCGTGGCAGGCCGTGGGCTGCAGCTCTGGAACTTGGGTGGCCCACGGAGCACCTGACTGAGCACTGGGTGGGTTCTGTATGCCAGCCGATGCTGGGTTGGATTAAGTGGCTTATCAAGTCACAGAAGATAAAACAGCACTTAGGAGCAGGGTGGAGTAAAAACACAAAAGCGCCAAATTTTCTGAGTCGAGAGAAAATGCTTTGATGTCTGCTCAAGTGCAACTCAGGATTTTAGGTGTCTCAGAAATAACCGAGCATTTGAAAAACAGTCACAAGCAAACACAGTTAGGTCTGAATGTCAACATCACTTTAAAGAAATAAACTGAGTCCTTTTTTTTGGCCTCATATAGTTACAGCGATAAATTCCTGGAAAATGGAATTACATATCATAAAAGATAAAAAATCATTACCTTTAAGCAACAAGGGCATGAACGGGATTTTGGGTGGCTTCATCTTTTTGAATGCATCTCTGTAGGCTTTGTGATTCAGGGAAGGGTTCTGCCGAAGCAAGCAGATTGCAAAGAGAAAGAAAAATCAATGAGCTATAGAAAGACTTCTAAAGCCACTTTGCGATACAACTTGAATGTGGTTTAGCTACTGAGAGGTCCTCCCTAAGAATGAAGTAGATAAAGGTTTCCTAGGAAAATAAACTCCCTAAATCAGGGCAGAAAACCCAGGCATTGAATGAAAGCCGAGTTATTGGTTTACAATAATGGGAACTGACTGCAAAAGAGAGACACCTTTGGATTGCCCTATTATTTTCCTCAAATCGGTTTTTCAAGTACAGTTTCCTCTGCATAATTTCTATCACAAAGCAACCTCAATGTCTTGGGTTAGGTACACTGCAAAAAGACACCTTCCCTCACCATGCAGAGAAAACAAGAGAATGTTGTCTTGCTGTGTTCTGAAAAGAAACTACACATTTTGTATCTAAACCTAATAAATGGTAAAACGGAGAGAAGAATAATGCAGAAGACACTGATTGCATGTTAAACTGATATGAACTCTGCAGGCTTTGAAATGGACTATCCTTAAAATTCTGCCTTCTCAAAATCATACCCAAAGGACCATTCCCACCACCTTCTCCCACGGAGAAGCGGCAGCATGGACTGCAGACTCGCTTCCCTTCCTAAGAAAACGCAAAGCTGCATCTTCACACACAGGCGCTCCGGTCTGGGCCACCTGCCCGGCCGGAGCCCCAACGCCCACCACTGGGGTCTGGGACGAAATCAGACTCTAGCAACAAATTTGAAGAACCAGTCCCCTCCGCCTCAAGTACTTACTGTCAAGCTTTCAAGTTCAGAGAAAAGTTTCTTAAACTTCCCAGGGATTTTCTAAAAACAAACACACAAAAAAGAAAAGGTCAAAGTCCGCTCATCTGAGAGGCAACTGGGGAATGTTCATTACATGGTGCTTCGGTGCCCCGCACCCGCACACAGACCCATCCCTGGTCGGGTTCCACCCCGACCACCCCTCCTCCGGATGCGATTGTCATTCCCGATGAAATGTGACATTCCTTGGGAAGGTGGCTGATAACGGCTTACAATACTTTCAGTCAGCCACAGGACTGGAATCCAGCTGGTTGGACATTCCACATGCTGGCGATTTTTTAATAAAAACTTGGATTTCAGCCTATAACCTACCTTTGACGGATGCTCTCATCTTCTTAAATAGCCTTGCTGATTGGGAATAATAATGTCGGCTGACATTTTTTGTACAAATTATATAATTATGTTTCACAGCAGAGGGCTCAACTAGGGAAAGGCCATGAAGACCCTAAAGCACACAGCCGGCACTTTGACAGGGAGACGCATTGCATTATAAAGATCAACCACACCGACAGGTGGCGGGTGAAATAACAGGGGATACGCTGTTCTCCCAGACACACATCTGGGCCTGAGGAAGAGGAGCCTGGCATCTTCCCGCCAGCCTTTTACGTGGTTGAGTGAAAAGCTGGGCGCCTTTCATACAGGTATAGTAAGAAGACGGTCTGGACTTGAACTCTGCCTCTGTCCCTTCCAGCTGCGTGGTTTGTTGCGAGTCTCCCGACTCTCTGACCGACACGGAGACGGCCCATGAAAAGCCTGCTGCTCCTGGCTGGCACTTAATGAATTCCAGATATTAACACAAACGCCTACATTCTGGGAGATATTTGTGGGACTTTCTGTTTCCAAACCACATCAAAGTAATTGAGGCAACCCCCCAATAATTAGCCTTTTGAATTATTTAGAAACCGACTTTTCTCAATTTGATCATTTTTAATTTGGACTCAGTTAACCACAGCACACAGGCCCTTGAATCTGTTTGGAAACTACTGTTACACAGACACAACCAGACTAATGCATGGAGGACAAATCATACGAGAACAGAGAAAATGCAGCCATCTGCAACTTGTTCCCATCGCTCCCCTGAGCAGCACACCTTCGTCCGCCGGACACGCCCCCCGGATGGCCCGGGGGCACCCACCATCGTGCCTTCCACCGGAGGATCTCCCCGACTCGCCCAAGTGGGCCTGTAAGTTGCCCACAGACCTACGCTGGGATCTAACGTGAGAAAAGAAATAGCTGGCCTCTCAGCCTTTCCCTCGCAGGAGCTGGCACTGGGAACCATGAAGAGGTTGGAGCAGATACGGATCAGAGCGGAGTCTAGGAAGACTGGAGAGAGGCTGAGGAAGCTGAAGGAACCGCATGCAGGCCAGAGCCGGCAGGGGGAAGACGCAACACGAGGGGAGAGGAGAAGGGATGAGGCAGGGAATGGTCCACGGCGGCGCGAGGCAGAGAGCGGAGGAAACGCACCCCACGGAGAGTCAGGGATGGGGCCGTGGGAGGGGCAGAGAGCCCCGCCCCTGTGTCTGGCTAAAACCAGGGATGCCCCCATCTCAGTTCCTGCACATCTACCCTTCAAGTCCATGTTTGAGAACACGCCCTCACTCTTGTGGGCCCCTCCACCTGAGAACCTGCACAGCCTTCCTCACACACCACCCACCAGCGGGGGCAGGGCCAGGGTTCCGGAGGCCTTCTTTCAGAAAATGAATGCAAAATTCCTTTACTGCTGCAAATTTTACAAAGATGGGCATCCCCCATGGGAACACACTGCCGGGACCCTGCAGGTGGGGGAGGCCCAGAGCTTGACTCGCGAGACTGCCAGCCAGCCGACCTCCAGTCCCGGGACCTCACACAGGGGAGCGTGGAGAGGGTCCCCAGGGAACCGGGGCCTCACAGTCACGGGCGCAGAGCAGAGGAGCATCTTACAGCTCTCACCTCTGTCATACACGTCACATAGCCACTGTGAAGACCACCTGACCACAACGGTCCCTGCCAGCACGACACATTTTTTTTTTAAAACATTTTTTCTAGTAGGATGCATTTAAATCGCTTAAGTCAATCTATGCATTGTAAACAAAGGCTTCTTGCTGGACCGGTTCCCTTCAGTTTTATCCGTCCCCCCTCCTCCTCCTCCCTCCCTCCTCTTCCTCCCTCTCCGTGAAGACACGAAGGGCTCACCTCCCAGGTCTGGGACAGCCGGCTGACAGAGGCGGTGTTGAGACCCATCACGATGGCAAAGAATGAGTTCAGGTTTCTCTGGGCTTTGCAGCTGCAGCAAGAAAGAAGGCAGAGGGCACTCTGAGGCAACGTCCTTTTCCAGATGCTCGCAAAAGACGCCCCTGAAAATACTCCCCTAGGCCACAGAGGTCAACCTCAGCGGCAGGGCTGGACTCTGCTCCACAGCCCCACACCCTGGAGAGAGAGCGCCCCGTGGTAGGGGTGGGGCCCCTTCAGGCGTCTCTGACATGAGCCTGTTCCAAATGCTGGGGTGCATCCTTACCTGTAGGAGGTCTATGTTCTTGATACCCTCTGACACTTCACAAACTCCCTCCTTTTTAAAAATCTATGTTGGATGCATTTACAGTTTCAACTAAAAGCTCTTAAATTCGTCTTGGTATACTCCATGCTCTCATTATACTGGCTCTCTGGCCCTGCCCCTTTGTCAGTGAGCTGTTTTGCGGCAGACAAGCCCCCCTCACGTCATGGGTCTAAGCTGCCCGTCCCATTATATTTATACACATTTTCTTTGCTATGAGCAAAATTGCTTCTATATTATGCACTTATGTAAACTATGGCACATATCATAGGGATCCTGCCCCACGTTTCTCATCTAAAGGGAAAAGGAAATAAAACGCAAAACAAGATCATGTTGCGCTCCATTCACTCTGAAAGGTTTTCTGCTGCACATACTGTCATACCCTTGACCTAAGTGGTCAAAATTCCGCCAGTGTTCAAAGCCTGCTGAGGGCGTGTGCCATCGCAGAGGGAGCCTGTACTTCCAGGTTAGTGTCTGTGAGTTCTAGACACTGCTTTATCCAGGACTCAGTAGGAAAGAGCTTCTGTGAGGTGAGTCTTTAAAATGAAGAGATTACCCTAACTTGGTAATTAAACATGAAAAATATGGAAGTGCTTGGCAGTGAGCTGGATGCAGAAATAACACCTAGTGCACGTTAATTCAGCTTCCCCCAGGTGCCACCTCTCCCCTGATACCTCCACCAACGTCTCATATGGACTTGGGGAGCAGTGTATATGGTAACTTTGTATCTTGTTCTTTCAGTTATATACCGTATTAAATTATGCATTGCATATAGCAAGCCATTCACATGGCGTTTACTAGAATTGAAACCTTTGGGGGAAAATGGTTTTATGATTATTCATTATAGAAAGGTTTATTCTTCTTTTCATTTAGCATCATTTATCTCTGTGGAATGTAAGATAAAATCCTCATCTTTTTATCTTTTAGCCACTCCCCCCTACCCACCTAAATAATTTTTCTGGTCCAGATCTCTTTTTCATTCATACTTTAAAAAAAAGCACATATATCTAACACCTGAATCTGTAAAAAGGAATTAACATAGACGCGATTTCTCTAGAAGACAAATGGAGACGGCACAAAATATTTGGACACCATTCCAGTCTGGAGTCCTCCGTTCCCAAGGTTCATTCATTCCGTGATAAGAACAGACTGTCTGACACTACACATTCCAGTGCAGCACACACTCCTTTGTCTGTGCGAGGGAATAAAATCCACCCGATCCACAGAGGCGGGGGGAGGGGATGGGGAGAGGAAGGGAAACATGAATATGCAAATAGGATGCCTTAGGCAGGAAAAACACATCGTGATCACGGAAATGATTATTTTCCCTTGGTTACTCCTACTCCTGTGATTACAAAAAAATTAACTTTGTGTTCCTATTGGCATTCCAGTCCACGGGCTAGGCTTAGAGACCAGCACCGTAAATAATTCAAGATCATGAGGCCGCCTGGAGAAGATGTGAGTAGATTCCATTTCCCTGAGGACAGGTAGAGTCTTACCCTGGGAACAGAGCTGTGTGGTGTCATTTTACTCCTTGGGACATCGGTATCCCATTTATCCAAGTGACTGGTATTTGCAAGGACGTGTTGGACCCAAAAGAGCCTCCGCTTTAGGTATTTCACAGACTAATATGAAACACATTGACCAAATTAAAAAAAAAAAAAAAGTCCAGGGTTTAGGCTCATCTGTCCCGCCCTCCAGTCCAGCCACACAGAACAAGTCAGGGACGTCCACTGTCTCTTGTCTAAGTGAACAAAACAACCCCGCTTCAGGGTTCAAGTTCGGTCTTTGTGCAACTTCCACACCGACCTTCCGAGGAACCACTCCGATCATCAGTTTCCTGCACAAAAACTGCCAGTGAATGCCTAGTGCCTCCCCAGGGCAGTCTCCACTCTTCAGTCTGAAATCCGAGATCCTTTACCATTTATTTGGTAGAAAGGTCCCATCTTTCTTTGCAGATGCATCTCCCACGACTTCCGCAGCAACACCCTCCCCTGGGGTCAAACTGGATGCGGGTCCTTCCCCAGACCACACATTCTCTGTGCCTCTCCCCAGGTGACTTTGACCTCTTTTGACCTGATACCTGTCAAATTCTGCCCAGGAAGCCAAACTCGCCTAGGAGGCTACTTCTTCCACAGTTGTTCTCCAAACCTTCCTTTCCCTCCTTGTTGGTAAGTGAGCTTCCCCTCCTCCGAAGCCCCCAGGGTGGGGACTCTGCATTGTAGAAACACAGTCCCTTCTGCCAGCCAGCAGACAGCAAACTCCTTGAAGGCAGGGCCGGGGTGTACTGTGACTTCCCCACAATAGTGCGCATGGATCTGCACCTCTAACAAGTGACCAATCCACAGTTCCTGAATAGGTTACATGGACAGGTACTCAAAACACTTTGATGTAACCACTATTTTGGAAGACAAGGGAGAAATGAATTGGGAAGGCTGGCAGGCAGAAGGAACTGGGAAAGATTTTGGTTGCTGCTGCCTGCTTCTGCTGGGAAGCCATCTCAAGAGCAGTCTGAGGATTCTGATCGGGTATTTTAAGAGATGCTCCCAGCAAACTGCTATAATAAAAAAGGTCATTCAGCCAACATTTACCCAGTCATTGGTACTCACTAAGTTCTGTACCAGGTACCCAGAACAATGACTGGTTAGAACTGGTCTCTGTCCACTGGAGGCTAACACAGCCTGTGAAGGAGCCCTACATAAATAGGGAAGTTCAATACACACAATAAAGAAATCTTTAAAAAGGAAATCTTGTGTCTATGTGTGTGCAGGGGAGGGAGTCAGGGTAGGACGTAGTTGACCTTGCATTTGAAAATCAGCAATGTTTTCAAGGAGGAAGTGACATTTGACCTGTGTTGTAAAGAGTGGCAGCAGCCTGCTGGGTGGAAGGGGCCACTCTTAGCAGAGGCAGCAACACATGTTCTTGCTTGGGGGGTGGTGTGCACAGAATAGAGTGGCTGCAGCATGGGGTGCACCCTGTGGGTGAGGCTCAGAGGTCAGGGGGGACCAGCCAGTGTGGGCCCTGCTAAGGAGTTTGTCAAGTTTGTACTGTGGGCACCCAGGAGCCAAGAGCAGAATTCTCGAATGCATCTCATTTTCAATGATCTTTCCCCTTCACTCATCTTACCCTATTTTCCTAGCCTACTGTAGCTCACTGGCCACATGGTCATTTAGCTACAGGATGGGGTATGTGTGCTTATTAGTTCTACAGTATGGAGCAGAGTGTTTCAGTCTGATATGTTGACATTTACTTTAAAATATAAATACTTCAAATGCAAATATATAAATATTCATGAGCAGACCTTCTCAAGCATTGGGTCACTTCATTAAGTATTACCCATTTACATCCAACCCTTCTTACTCATCACAAGGAAAATAAAACAGTACTCCCGCAAGGAGATGGGAAGAATTATACTTTTCACCACTGGAAACTCACTGGGCAGCGATTTTGATGAATTTTTTCACCAGCTGCACTCGCTTGCCCAGCTGGCTGCAGAGCAGAATCTCCGTGGCCACCCAGAGCTGGACCTCGTTGCAGCGCTGCAGCAGAAGGCTGAGGTTCACCGTGTGTTCCCCACTCCCTTGTCTGCTGAATGTGAAGTAGATCAGCTCTTGCTGAAAGAAAGTATGTTCACGTCAGTGTTTATTTTCAGCACAAAGAGAAGTTGACACAAAATTTAGTCCATTTTAAAGAGCTATCTCTGGTAGCCACTTTTATATCATAATATGAGACTGTGACAAATAATAATATATTAAATTTGAAACAACTTATCTTTAGTTTTAGAGATGACTCATTAAACAATGTTCACTTAGACTCCTTATATAAATTTTTTTCGAGTGTAAGAATGATGCCTTTACATGAAAATCTTAGACATTCAAAGTTTAAATCACAGGCTGAATCAGATCCAAACTTCCTAAACTTGTTCTGTTGGCAAACTCCTGTGCAAATGAATAAATACTACCACTAGCATTTGCTCAGATGCACATTAGACCCTCACAGGTAGATTCTCCAGGCAAGGGTTCTCAAATTTCAGTGAGAATCAGGATCATTCCCCCTACTCAGAGTTTCTGATTCAGCTGGTCTGTGGTGGGGACCAAAGATGTCTGTTTCCAATATGTTTCCAGGTGGCGCTGAGGATGTTGTTCTGGAGACCCACTGTTTGAGAACCACTGATGGAAGACAGTGCCAACCCGTAAGAGGAAAGAACAGGGTCCAAAAAACAAAAACAAAAAACGAGTAAGACCAGTAACTAGTAACTCTTTACTCTGTATAGGTTGACTACATGTAAAGCAACAGAGCAGGTTCATTTCAAATGGAGGTGTGTGCATTTCACAGAGGAAACTGACACAGTCCCGGGGCAGAAGCAGGGACACATCCCGTTCTACCGACATTTCCAAATGTGAGCCATTTCACTGGAACGACTTCCCTACTTGCTTAAAATTAGATCATCGAGTGGAAAATTCAACAAGAAAATATGAGGTCATTGAAAAGTCCTCCCCAAATGAACATGAAACTCAGGGTTAAGTTGGGCACGAGCTTCCCTTCAGAAGGAAGGGCCGTCTCATAAGAAAAATCTCCCTACGTGGCAAAGCAAGGGCCACATGGGGTGGCACGTGGCCGCCACGCTTCTGATTCCCGGGAGCCTCTCCACTGGCTACTCATTTATTCATGAATTGTCAGCAGCATCTCATCCATAATCTATCATTGTTATAAGCTGTCCTCAAGGGAGAAGCTGATGGCTGTAAAAATTTGAAATATATCTCAAAGTTTTCAAGAAAGCACTTGAAGTCTTGCTGAACAGTCTGAATTTATAGAATGTTCTTCAGTAAAAGGATGAGTATGTATGTGTATGGACATGTATATACACAAATAATATATGGTTCTTGTTTATTATAACTTTCATGGGAAAATTAATATAGGTATCAAAGGTATCAAATGCAAAATGGCTCTTCAATCCCATTAGAGCTCCATGTATAGATACACATACATGTGTGTTCATACATATAAAAATATGACATGTTTATACTGATTCTACAAATACATGATTGTACCAGGAGCAAATAAAGCATGACTGTGTATTTTGATTCCTAGGACTGGATCAGCCTTTCAAATATCTTTTTGGACCATGGTATCGTAGCATAATAATATCACCAGATGATGGATCTTTTAAAAACCTAGTCACATGCATAAATATTCTTTGAAAAGAATTCACAAAGAGCACTAGCATTTACTTGATTTTTTTCACTCTGTCCTTACCTCATGAATTGAATTGAAGAGACTCCAATCAAAATTCATTAATTCCAGAGCAAGATCCCAAGTATTCATTCCCAAAATCCTCATCGGCCTTTGCTGTGACTCCTCATTTTCTGCCAGTGGGTTCTAAACCAACAGAAGCAAACAGATCCTCAGTAAGTCCCGATGTTTGGCTCTGCACCGGCTGCTCACAGAAAGGCACTACACACTCAGATTAGAAAAGCAATCTTGTCTGAGGGCACTTAATATTTTCCCAGGTCTGTTCACCTTCAGCGAGTTACAGCCAATTTAGGAAGCAGCCTCGAGCACAGCAGACGTGATCAATGAGTGAGCCCGCCCCTGCCACCCCCGCCACGTGCCCACATGAATCTGATTATGAAACACGGCCAGGGCAGGCAGCATAATGAAAGCTAAAGCCCCGAAACCACTTGGGCTTCTGGTTTAAGAATTCACGTGCCAGCGGGGCTGGTACAAAAACAAACAGGAGAAATGTCACAGTGCACTTCAACAAAGGCAGACATGGCTTTTACAGGAAATATGTTTGACAAGCCTCAGCCCAGACACGCATTTACAAATTTTATTAAAACACTTGTGGAAAGCAAAAAAAAAAAATTGAAACATGAAATAAAAAATTAGAGTTTCTTCTCTTACACCCCATGGTAGATGGTTAAGTATCAATTGCCTTCCCTATACAAACAGGTTTGTGTTTGGTGACAGTACTTCCTTAAAATAGGGCGTGAAATTATCCAATGCCACCACAACTTTAAGTCTGTTGTCATTGTTCAATGTATTAAAAATTATTTAGCATCTTTTCAAAATATCTGTTATTTTTAATTAAAATATAAATTCTCCCATTTGAGGGTCTGGACTTGAATAGTTAATGACATTGAAATGGTTAATGACTTAGGAAAAAGAAAATAAGACTTTGCAAACTAAATGACATAGCAGGATGAAGGGAATAGTTCAGATTCCAAATACCAATCTGTTTCTAAACAGCAAGATACGCTGTTTGCATTTTAGAATTCTTACATTTATAAATAGTTGGCCAAAGACCCCCACGGAGCTTTCCCACAGACTTCATTTCGTTCAGAGCAGACGCACACTGTCCGTGGTCCCAGAGTGGGAGACGGTGCGGAGCTCCACAAGGGCAGACGGCACAAACGCACGTGCCACGCTGGGGCAGGGCTGCCGAGGTGGGGACGAGCTGAGGTGGGGACGAGCCAAGGTTTCTCTGGGCTTGTCTGACCGGGACCAGAGAGACACCAGCCTGCACGGCAGACACCCACAGGCAGGGCCACGAGTTGGGAAGTAACACTCACCTCAGTTTAAGAGTCTGGAGTGTAAAGGTATTTTCACATGGATTTTCACCTCCTACTTTCTCCCCAAATATGCCCCTTACCCTGGTACTGCCCTATGGTTCTTCAAGATTGCCTACCACCCTCTCTAAGAAACTCTTTGTATGTATTTCTCCAAGCCATTCATTCAGCATTTAGTTCCTGCTTTCGAAGAATATAATCTATGGGCAAGTAGAGTGCATATTAGTGGTTTCACGTGTTATTCTTCCCTGGCAATGTCCCATTTCAACAGAAATATTCTGGAGATAAAAGACCTAAAGCTATGAGTCCAATGGGGAAATTTTAGGTGGTGTGCAAAGTTTGTGGGGGAAACATTCGGGGAAAGGAGGGTGTCTGGTTTCTCTTGGAACATACTGCACAGCACCTACAAACCCCATGAAGACAGTGACTCGGGCCTGCCCTCCCCTGCCCTGGCCCCGGGCAGTGGAGCTGAGCGCCTGGGACTTGCGTGAGAGGTCTGGGAGGCAGGAGGCAGGAGGGGTGGGGAGACGATTAGGCTGCGGGTCCCCTCCACCACCAGGAGCCAGAGCAGCTGCTCAGCCAACTATCCTCCTCATGGGAAGGGGTGAAGTCACATCCATCTCATTATTTACTCAAAGATGCTGCAAAACATCGTCCAGCATGCCATGTTTCACTGATGCAATTACATCATTGCAGCCAAGGGACCAGTGATCCCATCACATCCAAATGAAAGGAATGCACAGGTGCTCTAGAGTCGAATATAAAGGGACTGGGGTCCTAGCGCTGTCCCCTTGGTTGCTGCAAGCTAGAGTAAGCTACTTGCAGCCTTTCCGACCTTCACAGGGTTACTGGGAATGTTAAATGAGATACTGAATGCAAGTTACTCAGCACCTATGTTTCTGGTAATGAAGTATCAAAAATGACAGTGACTGATATTATGGTAACTTGATATCCTATAGATAATTTTATAGAAAGCATTTTTATTAGAAGCAGTTTTTGTTTACCCACATGGTGTATACAGTCCCCAACTGTCTATACAACAGGAACCAGCTAGGAAGACCCAGCCCAGTTCTGACTCCAGGAAATGGACTAGGACCGTGAGACTAGATGGTACAGTCTCAGTCGGTAAAGCCTGCTTCTTCTGGGTGATGGAGCCCACTGTACCGCATGCAACTTTCAACTGAGGGTGTCAGAAACAACATGCCAGTCATCTAGCTGGATGTGAATGGTCTTAAATTTGAACTGAAAGTAACTTACACTGTGGGGTCCACCTTATTGCAGATGCTTCCTCTTCAGTGGCATCTGATGTACCACTGTTGTCATGAGACTATTTTGCCCAGGGAAGGCTGACCCCCCCCACCCTTTCTTCGAGGGGAGGGACACTGCCAGTGCACCAAATGCATGGAGACAAGGGCCGTCTCCTTCCCCTTCTACCCACACAGGGGGCATTTCTCAGCCTACTCTCCACACACACACCAGAAATGAAGAAATAGAATGAAGCTTCTGATGGGGAGGGAGTCCCTGGTCTCAAATCCCTTGTTTCGGGCGCTCAGAGAGAAGCAGGACTTGACTAAGGAGGGGCTTAGAATTCGTCCAGTTGTGAGTCTTGGATTTGGCAAAGCAGGGTTACTTGACAAGTGTCCCGTTGGCTAGGAGAGGAAATCGTTCAATGTATTTTTCTGACATTCATTGTAAAATGCACACAAGTATGTTTTTCATCTGGCATTTGTGTCTGTGTGTTTCAAGTACAAGGCCAAAGGTCCTCACCAATGTGTCAGCTAGGTCTTTCCGGTAGACATATATCCGACCAGATGCTTCCAGGGACTTGGAGATCGCCAAATCATTTGGCTGAAGTTCATGCTTTTCTTTATTTAAAAAAAAAAAAGAGAGAGAGAGTAATTAGAAACACAAGAACAGCAGTAGGCATACAAGGTACGTCTAAAGAGTGAAACCTGCCAAAGAAGCGTATTTAAAAGGAAATAGGATGTAAAATAGACTGAATTGAGTTCTGCACACTCTGTGCAGGTACTGGTGAGGGCCGGCATATTACTCCTCGTTTTCCATTAAGGGGAATCCTCTGGTGATCTTTCTTATAACGCTCAGTCGCTCTTTGGAACATAGAACATTTCAGGGGAGAAAGTAAAATTCACTCATAATCCCATCACTCCAAGTATAACCATATGATAGTAATATTGGTTAACATTTGGGTAGATTTTCATTCTGATCTTTATGTATGAGAGTGTGTGTGTTTCTGTATACACACATATACTAACAATTATTTATACATATGCATATTTATGAATATATACATCTGTGCATATACGTATGTATAAAACTACATACATGCACTTAACCATTTGTCAAAATTATTTATATATGTTGTGTTTAATTGGTTACCTAACAGTCTATTATACCATCACTTAATCTTTCTACTTTTGTTGGACATTTAATATTTTCCATTTTTTTGGTCATATAAATTAGATGGCAAGATGCATGCTACATACCAACACAGGACCAGACACATAACAGGGGCTTGATAAATGGAATCTATTATTATAGTAGCCACAGTAAAAACTGCTGAAATCAGCATCCTTGTGCATAAATCTTGGGCTGTTTATTGACGATTTTCTTTCTTTTTAAAAAATATTTTATTTATTTATTTGTAGACAGAAGGAAAGGGAGGGAGAAAGAGAAGGAGAGAAACATCAACTGGTTATGTCTTGCATGCCCCGAACGGGAACCAAACCTGAAACCCAGGCATGTGCCCTGACCAGGAATCAAACTGACAACCCTTAGCTTTGCAGGACAATGCCCAACCAACTGAACCACACTGGTCGGGGTGATGATTTTCTTAAGATAGATTCCCAGTAGTGGAATTACTAGGTCAAAAGGGATAAATATTTTTAAAGTTTTGGATGCAAACTGTCAAACTGCTTTCTAGTTCTTACACTGACCAACACTGATCGTTAGTGTTGGTAAATCTGCTCTTTTGTGGAAACCAAAAATGGATTTGGAGTGTATTTTGTATTTCTTGACTACTACTGAAGCTGAAATGTTTCACATATTTTCCTTCCATTTTATTTTCCTTATTGCAAATGGTTCCTATCCTCTGACCATTTCTGTGCTGTCGCTGGTGCGCTTTTACACCACGACAGAGAAGCACCCTCCTCCTAACTACAAAACGCAGATGGGAATTGACTAAAGTAATACTCAAGTTTATTCCACTGTAATATAATCAGCTTCTCCTAAAGCAGCCCTTCAAATATCCAGCACGGTTGGGAAATGCAATATTCCACATCTTTTCCTACATAACTTAATCAGTTAAAATGCCAAATTTTGTTTTGAACAGTTCTGCTTCATACAGAGCACACAAATGATAATCTAATATATTCTGTATGGCCCAGCATTATAAAGATCAATAGCACGGGCATGTCAGGCTATTGACGTGAGTAGCAAATGGTCCCACGTGGCTGGTTCTTCCATCTCCTCCCTCTGTTTGGCTACAGTTTCTTACAACCCTCTGTGTGCCCACGCACACCTTAAATCTGAATTTATGGGAGCCATCCCACGCTTGCTAGGGGGATAAAACGCTGTGGTGTTCTCCATCATTTTTCCATGTGCTAAGAAATTTTTTTCCCTTATTTTCAGGTTTGTCACTGCACTATAAAAGATTAAAGCTGATAAACTGATAAAATTTTAAGCTCTGAATAACTGGGCACGTTTGTTGTCACTACACACATATGCCTACCCTTGGGACAAAAATGACTCTACATCCACTGAAAGCTATGACACCAATAGTTACCAGTCCCTTTACAAAAAAAAAATCCACAAATCTACCAATTGCCAACATCTTTAAACTTTTTTGAAAACTAAAACCACAGTCGATCTCATTGTTATTTCATTTTGTAGTAGCATTTAAAACACTATTTATTGAAAATTATGTAGCTAGAACAAGGAATACATTAAGCTCTGTTTCTTTTCCTCTCTCATAAAAACATGATTGTTTGGGGGATATTAAGCTGCAGGCAGAAAGGTTCTTAAGGGACAAAACTACTAATTGATGGGAAATGATGGCACATTTCCAAAGCTGTGGGATCGCTCCGAGATCAGCTGATACTTCTAGCGATGATTAGCAATGAGTCTACACACACTAAAATGCCACCACCCACCCTGATGCATCCTGTTTAATAGAGTGTAAAAATGGTATTTCAGGGCCATCAGACAGATGTTGGGGAGCAAAGGAGCCACTCGTTAATTTCCAAGTTCACCCGTGGCCCTGTTGGGTCTCACGGGAGTCTACTGTGCCGCCGAGCTCGCTCGGAGTCCTTTCTTCTCCTGCACCTTCTGTCCGGACGGGGACCCAGTGAGTACTTGTTGTCCTGGTTCTGTCAACATGTTGGTTTTCATGGAACTGAACATTGTTTAGAGTCATTTAATAGTTTCGGTCACTTAAAATTAACTATAGTATACATTTATCATATCCATCTGGAGTGTCTGAAATATTTTATTAAAAAATTTAATCACACCTTGGCTGGTGTAGCTCAGTGGATTGAGCTCGGGCTGTGAACCAAAGCATCGCAGGTTCGATTCCCAGTCAGGGCACATGCCTGGGTTGCAGGCCATGGCCCCCAGCAACTGCACACTGATGTTTCTCTCTCTCTCTCTCTCTCTCTCCCTCCCTTCACTCTCTAAAAATAAATAAAATCTTTAAAAAAAGAACTTAAAAAAAATTTAATCACGCTCTGATTAAACTTCCTGCAATGCACATGTTTCTCAAATGTTCGCCCCTGTCTTTCTGGACACTGTTGGGAGGAATGCACAGTGAGGGCCCGAGGAGAGGGAGGGGATGCTCTTGTCTGTTAGGCCGGAGGGCAGGGCTGTGTCTGTTCGCACACGTCATCGAGGAGCCTGTGGGACCGTTTTACCTGGCCCCGAGTGACACAGCAATGGAAGCTCTCCTGTCACCTAATGCTCGCACGTGGCATTAGAATCTAACGTCCGTCTCCTGCCTCTAGAGCGATAACAAAGCGTAGGCAGACACGCCAGCTATCTGCCTCCCCTCCCCCACCCGGTCCTCCTCTTTTCCAGCGGCTGATGCCAGGTCACTTGCTCGGTGTCTGCCTCAGGGCTAATGAGATATTCAATAAAGGCTGTAAGCTGGACGCCTGACAGGCTCTGGCGAAAATGAAGGGGTCCGTGCAGGTCGCGCTGATCAATAGTGTCAGCTTGTCGTCTGTGTGATCTTATTCCAAACAGACAATAAACCCTTCTCAGGGTAAACAAGGCCCACCAGGAGAAACAGCTGTGGCCAGGCCCATGCCCCGCGCCCACCTGAAGGAGCACGGCCTGTGAGCTTCGGGTGTACTGTGCGGTCCTCAGTTCCTTCAGCAGGGGGTCTTTCAGTATTAAACTGTCAGCCAGCACCATGACTAGTTCAAGGCTGTCTTTCTTTTCTCTTCCTAAAGTAATTTCATCCTTTAGCCATTTCCCAAGTTCATTTAAATATGAAAATAGAAGGCTTATCTGGAGTACCAAATATAAAAGAAAAGCTTTATAATATACTTCAAAACATGGGCCTGCCTCTCTAATTCAGTTCTAGGGGAGGAAATTCAGTATCCAACAGTACCCAACCGTTGTCATGGAAACACCTCTGGTAGGTGGCTTCTCATTGTTCCTGTGGTCATCCAGCTGCAGACCCAGAAGGCACGAGCTGCACGTTTACTCTATAAAAATGTCAACTGTCCCTCCTGGAGAAGATCTGGTGAGAGATTACCACTCGAGGACAGAAAACCACTTACCCCCGGAGAACGTGATGGCCACCAGAGCCAGGTCCTCTTCTGCGTGCTGGATCTTTTCGGCCACAACTTTCAGGATCTCTTGGGCCGTGCTGGAAACTCTGGCCTTCACACTGACGTAGGAGTGCTCTGTTACATACACGTGGCAGAAAACTGCAGGAGACAAGAAGCCTTGTTACACAGCAGAGGACTGCGGCTATGAGGTGCAGAGACTTCTCTAAATCAAGGCACCCACCTTCCCCGCTCGCCTCTTTGGTACAAAACACCCATGGCTCGATTCACCTGTTTCTGGCTGCACACAGGCGCCTGAGGGGACATGTGTGCAAACGTGTGTGCGCACGCCTGAGACACAGTCGGTGTAAGCCGGTGAGCGAGCCTGAGGAGGGCTTAGGTTCCCCACACGCATGTCTAACGCACACACTGTTACTTCACACTCCACTCTGGGGCAGTCCCAGTGGTCCAGTGTGGACCACATGTCGTCATTAGAATTCTCATACGCTTTTCTAAAAATCTGTCATTTGCTGTGGTCTTTGTGTTCAGTCGTCTTGATTTTTTAAGAATGACACCTCCCTTTCCCGATCAAGATGGTGGTGAGTTTAGTTTCCAAAGAGAGGTCACATTTCTAGCCATTGTAATTTCCTTTTTATTGTCTGCGGTGCTAATAATTATTACTAGGACATTATCTCTAGCTGAGTGAACAGGTTCGAGAAAAATGTTTCTTTATGACTTGCCATTAGAAACTGTTTCAATAGCAATGCAGATAATTGACACATTGTTTGCTTCTTATATCAGCTGTTCTGAACAATAAAACACTAGCTTCTTTAGAAAAGACAGGAGGAATAATGTACTTAGATATTTTCCTCTCCTATATTACAAATTTTTTTTTAAAAAAGGCATGCAGCTGCTAGAGAAATTGCATGTGCAATTGAAACGGCACCACAAAAATAAACCCAGGAATGTTTCAACAGAAATGCAAGGAAAGCAAAAGTCAAACTATGCGTTTACTTGTGTGAACCTCCAAGTAAACACACCACCAGGAGGCGCTGGCCGCATTTTGGTTTTGGTTTGGTTAGGCGTGCCGCTAAAACAATAGCATCTAACAAAGAGTTGTTTTGTATGTTGTCAACAGACTTGTGAGAGACAAAAAGGCTTTTTTTTTCCTTGCAGAGAACCATGGAATTTTTGAGCAAGGCAAAGATCTGATTGACAAACCGCTCACTGTGATGTAAGCTTACAGCTTGCTTAACAAACTGGTGAACAAAGAGAGGACCAGGGCCCTGAAATACTCAGACATTTTGGAACTCGGCTTGGAAGATGAGACAATTAAACTGAGAGACAAACAGGCAAGGGAGGTCAGCAAGTAAGGAATTGGGAGACAAGATCATTTCGTTTGCCCTTCCTCTTATCACGACACGACAGCACCCTCATGGGTGGCTTTATACACAATGTAACAGAAGAAGTACGGGTTCAAGAAGTTGAGCCATGTTAAATGCGCACACTTAGAATTTCAGGACTTATTGAAAAGGTTTTAAAAGAGAAAGTCTCTGAGTCACAATAGTGTAACCATTTTAATTGCTGTAAGTGTTTCCCGGCTCCGCACTTGACTCAACCTTTATCCAAACAGGAGGAAATGAGGTTCTGTTGTTACAAGATATTACCGCAGAGAAGCACGCCAGCGTATTCCGGGCGCTAACAAAGTGTTTCCCCTTGAGTGGATGGGCCAGCCCTCTTCCCGGTGGGCCAGGAGCCCTTTGGGCATTGCCAGGCACCGAGTGAGGACAGGCTGGGTGTGTGGCACTGCCTGGCACAGCCTTGCCTCACAAGAATTTTGATTGCACATCCTTCCTCTGATAATTTTCTCTGAGACTTCTTCTCTAACTGTGCCCTGCACGCGGGCTTTGGTGGACTTTGCAGTGAGTCCCAGACAACGGGCTCATGGAGCTGGGAGTAGACGACCCCCAGGAAGGCCGTGTTTCCAGACGACCCTGCACCTCTGCCCAGGAACGCGGGAGGCTCTTTGCTGGCTCCTTTCCTTATTTCTCCAATTTAAACTGTCCTTGGTCCCTGGGACACTAGCACATGATCACGAAGATGGTAATGCGAAAACCGGAAAAGAAAAGCCATCATTTTTTGATGTTGATGTGCTCCTTAAAGGGTGTGACAGCTAGAGGTGGTTAAAGGCAGGCTGCTGTGTGAATGCTGGGGAGGCTTGGTGATTGACTGACAGTCCCCCCACCCCCACCCCCCAAACCCTCGTCGGAAGAACCGTACTCACTTTCCTCGGTTTCCGTCACGGCCCCTCTATGCTGGAGCCAGTTCTCCTTCAGACTGAATTGGTGGAAAAGGGCTTTATTCTGTGAGAAGGGAGAAAGAGAACAATGAACGAATGTGTTCCTGCCCTTTGGAAAGCCACAGCTGTTTACAGCATGTTCCAAACAAGTGGGCCAATTTCGTTTTTTAAGTATGAAATCCACCATCCAGTCACGGAGGAGTAAACTGGGAGCTGCCTCAGTGAAAGCATGTGGAGGTGGAGAGTCTGAGCAACACGGCAGACCTGGCCCAAGGCCAGCCCCAGGCAAAAAGTCCCCCTACTCCTTCCCTGCGACTGGCTGGAGGGTATCTGGTTACTACAAACACCCCGGGTTCTGAGCAGACACCGTTCCGCATCCCCATATCGACCTTCCCTTTCGGTAAAGCGACTTGAGACGGTTTCAATACTGGAGTACAATGACCTTCTTAAGGGAAATAGGTTCCTTATCAGCTCCTACACAACTTCTGCCTAACATCTTCCTTTCCAGTCTCTCCCTCAAGTTGGATAGGAAACACATTCATCCTTGCTACCCACTCTCTTTCTGTTGGGCTGGAAAGTGTGGAACTTGCTTACAAGCCTTTCTTACTCTTGTAGTCAAGCTACTTGTCTGGATTTCTCCCCCGCCACCAGTGTTTGACATTCAAATCTATATCACTCCAGGGACACCAGGGAAACTCTGAGACTTTAAAATGCATCACAAAAACAGGTGGATGAGAGCACAGCAAAAGCACAGGCTGACACTGTCCTTGCACCAGCACGGGGAAGCTGGAATCCAAGGGTACGAGCTGCAGCCCCAGCCCCTGCCTGCCCTGTCCTGCCTGAGGAGGTACGAATGAGCAAGGCTGGGGCTCCAGACTGAACCCCGCATTTCCCAGGGAGAGTGGCCTGCCTTACCTTCCTCTGCGGCGAATATTCATCCACAGTGCTGAAAGGAAAAGAACAAGAGGTCAGTCTTTGTCCCACGCCCAGAATAATGCAGTTATTGTCACAGCAGACTAATTTTCAGACACTGGGCGGAGGCTTTTGCTTTTCCAAAAGATAAGGCGCAGTATTCGTTAGTTCACTGTGCATAACGCACTTGACTTTGGGCTCTGGGTCCCCAGTGAACCAGGAAGTGAAGAAGCTGTCTACTCAACAGGTATGTTTTGCTTTCCTCCCACAGAAAGTGAACCCTGGAGGAAGGAGGGCACTTCTTCAGGACACAGCCATTCTAGTTTTCTCACATACCGGTTGCATTTTAGCTGAAATTATTGCTATTCAGGTAGCTAAGTAAGTGGCTGAATCGCATCTTTTCCAGGATATTTCTATGTGTGGTGGAACTGGGGGACATCCAGCAGGACCCCCCAACTCAAATCTTCTTCCGGAATCTAAAGATTTCATAATCTAATACCAAGGATACAAGGATCACATCACATCCTTTTCTTATTTCAATCTTTTATCTCCCACTTTTATGTTAGGTTCTTTAATGGAGTGTTTTGCATTTCATTAATGCCTTTAGTATATGTAAGCGTGTGGAAGCATGACATGAAGGTTCCCAGCAGTAATAAGGCCTCCCTGACAGCACAGAGCAGCTTCCTCTCGGGGGATTGCTTTGACGTTAGCCTCGTCTTTCTCTTCTTGTTTCACTCGGTTGTTCCCACCTTCGTACTGGTCCTCGGCTTTGGACACGTCACGCTGCAGACTCTGACCCAAGGAGGCCACCGAAACTCACCCCATTCACTTGTAACTCACTGCCCTAAATCACACCCCATTTCGGGATTTCCAAACATGTGATTTTCATGTTTGAGAATTTATTGGCTCCTGAAAATTACACAGACATTTCATTTGCAGTAGGACCTCCCTTTACTACAATTAAGTCAGGCTTTACACCTCAAGTCAGGAATCTGGAAGGCCGGAATGAACCTCTTCTACGAGACGTGTATTTCAGACTGCTGCAATCTTTTTTAAAAATATACTTTTATTGTTATGCTATTACCGTTGCGCCAATTTTTCCCCTTTTGCCCCCTCTACCCGGTATCCTCCATTACCTCAGGCAATCACCACCCACCCACCCCCACCTTAGTTCATGTCCGTGGGTCAAGCATATAAGTTCTTTGGCTTCCCCATTTCCTATACTGTTCTTAACATTCCCGTTTATCCTACACTTGCCAATCTGCATTTCTTAATCCCTGCACCTTTCCCCCCATTTTCCCTCTTCCTCCTCCTGACTGATAACCCTCCAAATGGTCTCCACATCTATGATCCTGGTCCTGTTCTGCTTGTTTGCTTAGTTTGTTTTTCAGATTCAGTTGTTGATAGTTATGAATTTATTACCATTTTGATGTTCACAGTTTTGATCTTCTTTTTCTTAAATAAGTCCCTTTAACATTTCATGTAATAATGGCTTGGTGATGATGAAGTCCTTTAGTTTTACCTTGTCTGGGAAGCACTTTATCTGCCCTTCCATTCTAGATGATAGCTTTGCTGGACAGAGTCATCTGGGACATAGGTCCTTGCTTTTCATCACGTTGACTACTTCTTGCCAGTCCCTTCTTGTCAGCGGAGTTTCTTTTGAGAAATCAGCTGACGACTCATGGGAACTCCTTTATAGGTAACTATACACTTTTCTCTTGTTGCTTTTAAAAATTCTTTATCGTTAACCATTGGCATTTTAATTATGATGTGTCTTGGAGTGGGCCTCCTTGCATCCATCTCGTTTGAGACTCTGTGCTTCCTGGACTTGTATGTCTATTTCCTTCACCAAATTAGGAAAGTTCTCTTCCATTATTTTTTCAAATAAGTTTTCAATTGCTTGCCCTTTCTTCTCTCCTTCTGGCATCCCTATGATTTGAATGTTGGTACATTTGAAATTGTCCCAGAGGCTGCTTACACTCTTTTTTTTAATCTTTTTCTTCTTGTTCTGATTAAATGTTTTTTCTTTCTTATGTTCCAAATTGTTGATGTGATTCTCACCTTCATTCACTCCAATGTTGATTCCCTGTAAATTTGCTTTATTTCACTTAGTGTAATCTTTATTTCTGCCTGAGTCTTTTTTATGCTGTTGAAGTACCCAATGAGTTCCTCAAGAATCCTAATAACCAGTGTTTTGAGCTCTGCATCTGGTAGATTGCTTATCTCCATTTTGTTTAGTACTTTTTCTGGAGTTTTTGCTGTATTCTTTCATTTGGGCCATGTTTCTTTGTCCCCCCTTTTTGCAGCCTCTCTGTGTTTGTTTCTGTGTATTAGGTACAGCTGCTTTGACTCCCTGTCTTAGTAGCGTGGCCTTTTGGAGAAAAGTCACCTGTAATTTGAATTGGAATGGGCATTAGGTAATCGCCAGGATGGGGCAACCCGTGTGAACCAGGTTGATGGGGATCTCAGATATGGTGTCACTGCTCTGTGTCTCTATTTGTGAGAGGGCTCAGAAAACGGACAATGGCCACTGCCTGGCCTCTGACGTTTTGTCTGGGAGGAGGCTGTCCCCTGGCTCTTGCCTCAATGCCAGACACTTCTGTTTCTCCCTGTATGCCACTGGTGCCCTTCCGGCTGTTGCCTCGGTGCTGGAGCCCAGAGGGAGAGGGGAGGGTCTGCGTAAGTCCTAAGTCCACTGTGGGTCATTTAAGAGGAGATGCCTGAGAATCCCACAGTTTATTCTGTCACCCCAATCCTCACTGACTTTTACAGCCAAAAGTTATGGGGATTTCTCTTCCGGCACTGGATCCCTGGGCTAGGTGGTCTGGTGTGGGCCAGTGCTCCCTCCTCCCAAGGTATCCCTCCTGATTTTTATCCACCACACGTGGGTGTGGGACTGCTGGTTCTGCGTCTCGACCTCCCTGACCTCCTACCCATCTGGATGAAGGTGTCTTCTTTAATTCCTTGATTATTAGACTTCCATACAGCATGACTTTCTGACGATTCTGGGGGATATTTGTTTCATTGTTGTAATTTTTGCAGTGGTTGTGAAAGGAGGTGAGCTGTGTGTACCTAAGCCTCCACCTTGACCGTGACTGCTAAATCTTAATAGAAGTTTTTACAGCTTGACAACAGATACATTTCATGTTTGCTAAGTGGAAACTACAGTGTAAATCAGAGGACAATTTTCCCTTCAGGTTAACTTTGCAGCTCTATCTTAAAGCCGAATGACCTGGTGTTTTCATTTACCAAGATAAATAAGGAGAGTTCATGTAAACAGAGTAAAGTCAGGTTTTGGCAATTTGAAAGACTAATGAGAGATACCTGGGGGATACCGGACATGCCAAAAGTCATTGAGTAAATGGTTTTCTTTAATCTTTCTAAATTGATTTTAAAAACCTCAGGGACATAAAATTGAGCTTTTCAAATGCTCTATGACTTGCTGGGGCCTATTTATAAACAGTTTTTCTATTTTATTAGAGATAGCTATGAGCCGCCCAAATGACAAGTTAAATATTTACACTTTTAAACTTCAATAATAATTTATCAAATGATTGTTTCCAGGCACCTAACTTATCACGTCTGTTTGTTTCTCCTATATTAAAATAGGGTTAAAAAAGTAGTCAATACGCTCAATTTAATGTTTGTTCATTCTGAGATATAAAAGAAAAACAAGCAATGTACAGCTAGAAAAGCTAGAGTCAAGATGAATCTCAGATTCAAAATGTTCAAAATAAACTTTATAAGACATCTCAAATTCTATCACATTTGCTGCCTTCTTTCGTTAACTGCTATATGCAAAAATAAATAACTTACTGACGACGGTGCATTCCAAGTATCTTTTGAAATTCTTTCAATTCTTTTTCGAGTATTGGGTATTCATATACATCGTCCAGCACGTTTCTGTATATGGTCTGGGGAGAAAAGAAGAATGTCAGATGAATTGGTTGAAGGCCCTTTAGCAAGAATTTAGACTCACGCAACGGCTGATCTGCCCAGGGGAGTCGGTGGGACTCTGTACAATGCAGGGGATCCGCCCAGGAACCAGTGAGACCCTGGGTGGGACTACCCTTCTGAGCCCCCGGCTCAGCTGGCAGGGCTCTCTCGCAGCACTTAGGGGCTGTGGGCTGGACATGCCGGCACCTTAGGGATCTCTGGCTGGCTACTGCAATTTCCATACCTGCTCTATGTTTTAAAATAATGATATCCACACAATCATCTGGGAGGGGAAAAATCAATTGGATTAAATTACCCAGTTGTTTTGAAATAACATTAGTTTAGTCAAGGAGCTGGTTAAAGAGTTTTTAACTGGATGACTAAAATGACATCTGAATCCTGAATGCAAAGTGGTTGGCTTCATGAACGGCGGAAGCAGTTTAGACGCTGGCCTGTTCTGAAACAGAGCTCTTCCTCCGTCAGACCCCTCCCCCCCCTGTGCGTTAACCTGCACGGCCAGTATGGCGCTGGTGGCCGAAGGAATCTGACTGCCTACAAACCATCTCCAGGGAATTATCTGTGTTGAAAAGATGCTGCAGCCTATTATTGAGTAGAACAATGTATCAGTTTATCTAACTCCATGTGTAAATCTAGATTGCCATCTATTTTACAAGTTATTATTACTTACAATTCTCAAAATATACCACATTCTGAAAAATTTTTATAATGTGTATATCGTGAATATAGTTTTTAAATGACAGTGTTTTATCCAATTATTGAATATATGAAACTGGTTAGTTCAAGTTGATAATAAAGCTCAACAGATTAAATACTATTAAGCTTTTTAAAGATTTTTTTTATTTTAATTATTTTTTAATGTAATTTATTGATTATGCTATTACAGTTGTCCCATTTTCCCCCTTCACTCCCTTAAATACTATTAAGTTTTGAAGTATGTTTTATTTTACCTTTCTTAATTATTTCATTTGTAATCAAACATCCCATGACTTTTATAAGATAACATTAAATTAGTGAATGTAAAATTTGCCCTCTATATTTTTTCTTAATGAAGTCTTTAAAATTAAAAAATTTCTGTCTATAGAAGGCATATCAGGCCTTCGGAATCAAAATGAATTAATGCTTTGTTTGAATCACAACCTGGACATTACGAGAAGTGAGTGACTATAACCAACAGTGGAGACTTCTGAAGTGTGTGACTAAAAGCAAAAGCAGTCGTCTGGCATCAGAGGGCATCCGGAAGTCTCACATCACCTTTAGAAACATCTTTGAGTGCTCGTCTTCATGCAGCCAGTCTTTGTACAGAGAGATCCACTGGGAAACGAGATGTAAGACCTTCCGTTTCCGGCAAGGGACATCGGAGTTTTCTTCTTTGCCTTGATACTTCTTAGCGGAATAGGTGCAAATGGTTAAGAAAGACTACTGCGTTGTTGAAAATAAAAACATGAAGAGATCCACATATTCTTGCTAAATCATACTTTCTGAAGAACCTACAGCTATCTAACCATGCAGGACAAAAAGAATAATGTGTAGTGAGACCAAAAGGTGTATATTAACAAGAGCAAAAATAAAGCCAGGAAAATGTCACACCCACTCAGTGACAGGCCATAAAGATGAAGGTCAGGTGACCACACTGACAGCTTCTGACATGGTTGCACAGGGGACACAGGTTAATGCCTCCTCCCAGAGACACTAGGTGGCCCATTAATTTCAAGGGTGGCCCAAGAGACCTGGCCATGCTCCACAGGCAGACGTTGTTTCCATACAAGTGAGAAGAGAGGTCAGGTATCCTCGGATCCTCAGAAATTCACATTCCGTACCACCAGTTAGTTCTCAAGGAGAGCCCCACATGAGCACACATTTCTGAACCATAATTTATAACATTTTCCAAATGCCCATCCCTAGGAATTTACTTAAAGAAAGAAAAGGACTGGATAAATGTGCAAACATAAATAAAAAGGACTGCTAATTTAAACTTTCGCTGGAATAAAAACCAGAAAATATTAATAACTTAAATACTTTACCCACTGAGGAGACCTAACAGAACTATTTACTTGTTCATCTAATGGGCTATTCTGTAGCCATGAAACTGATGGCTATATTTACTGATAGAATGTTCCCAATAAATGGTTAAGCAGGAAAATAAGAAAAGAATACGTTAGGATGATCCATTTTTGTTAACTATGCTTGTTTATATGAATAATTCCATTACCTGGAAAGATACACTGATGATTAAGAGCAGCTTCTAAAGGTAATGAGGTTTCAGAGCCCATGAATTGTTAATATACTTGCATTTTCTAATTTGTATACAATGACCATGTGTTAACTATGTTGTTAAAATGATAAAAAATAACAAACCTCATACGCAACATGCTTCAAGCCTGAGGAATGAGACAGAAGCTTGGTGTTTTCCAAACCAACCTAGCGTTCTTCTCCCCCCAAATCACCATTTCTGAGTGTCGTGGACACATGAAAGGTTACCTGGGAAGAGGAAGAACTATGACACAAGATGCAGGTGAGCTCTGGGGTTGATGGTGACATGTAATTGCAAAAGAGGGACAGGTTCTATACAGGCTTCATAAATATTCTAAAAACATAATTCACTGTCTCCTGAACCTGCAAAAATACATTATGGCCATCTGATTTTTTAAATTTCCACTGGTGAAATAAACCCAGACAAACATGCACAGAGTCTGTTAAAGGACTCATTTCTTTTAGTTTTTCTCTTGAAAGGCAACATATAAAGATTTATCCTTCATTATTTCCACTTATGCAAATGTCCTTTCTTCTTTTCCTGTAACTATCATGGCTTGACTAATACAAAGAAAAAAAATCTGGAAGATTAAGTACTACTAACAGATCAGCATATGTAAGTGAAGAGGAAGCTTTTTGTTATGGCTGCATAGACGTTCTACAATTATGGGTCTTCAGCATAAAGCAATTTTGGGAACTGAAATGTCAACAACTCTTCTTCATTCTTAGATACTACCATTTATTTGCTTAATCATGTTCTCTCCCCTGCAAGATATATTTTAAAAATATTTACTAATTTATATTCATATTATTCTGGTTTTCTGTATTAGGTATATTCAAATGTATGCTCATATATTTTGCTCATGCTAAGCTATAATGATTTATAAATTTAGTTGAGGGTGCGGAGAGAAATAGTGGGGAGGTATTCATGTAATGGAGTGAACACTAGCCCACTTAGGGCTGTGAGCTTAAATAACTCTATGATGATAAAAGCTGAAAGGTATTAAATTCTATTGCAATAAAAACATCCACCTATGATATCCCAACACAGCACAAACAGCTCCAGTCTCTAAATAATGTTCAAAAACATTGGGGAAAAACAAAAAATACTCTGGGCTCTTCCTTAGAATGTGACAGTAGTAGGCTGTAAAAGGACCTGTCACTAAAATGCACATCCCACTCTCTCAGGTTAAATACAGACGCCGTATTTTTGCTTGTGGGTCGCATCATTTCAGAAAAGGCAGAGGCTGCAAATACATCAAAATTGCCACATAAAAAGACTCCTGGCTGAAAGTGTTCTGGATTTCCTGGGTTTTGATAATCCCCTTCAGAAATCAATTTTTGTATAAAATGTCTTAGTCAAAGACTCGGACGTGTATTTAGCCAAGGAAAGTTTTAGGGGTTCCTCAGGGAAGTTCTATGAGGCATTAAATTACTCAATGTGGTCACAAATTGTGTTAGGATCGTATGTAACAACAGTAGTTTGAAAGCATGTAATTTGCTCTAAAACAAACTGTATTACTTAATGGATGGAAACACTCTTGGAAAACTCAGTATTCAAGTATAGAAAAAATAAGCCACACATTTTTTTTTTCATAAATGGGCCATGTTTAAAGAAGGAGAAATTTAAAACTTTGTACTTACTTTTAAATTTCTTAGTAACACCTCACTTGGAAGCTTTAGAGGAAATCTGTTTTTCAGATTTTCCAAATTCACAACTACATTTCAAAATCAGCTTTATAAACTGGTTCTGAAAAGCTTCACGATACCTGCACTGGCCACGTGGTACAGTAAGCACTAAGGGAGCACTCTTTCTAGTTTCTGTATTTTTAAGAGAGATTATGCCCTTTATGAAGTTTTAAAGTATTATTTTAAGCAAAAAATGTTAAAGGGGGGAGAAATATAGCAATTACTTAACAGGGAAGAGATACAACTGAGACTAGGGCTCAATAAAACTTGGGTTGGTGCAAAAAAAAAAATCCATCATTTTAAAATTTTTCACGTGGGCTCGAATGAACTCTTCACTTCGGCTTAACAAAAACCTGACAGTCACCTGGCCACTGAAATGCCCCCAAAGCATCTTCCTGGGACCCTGCGAGGCAAGAAATCCATGTGGGAAACTGACTGCGTTTTCTTAGCTTGGCTTTTTGGCCTTTCATCTCTTGTATCTCTTCTGTTCAGTGTATAGATCATAAAGCTTCCTTAACTGGTCATTAATTAACCTTCTAAGCACATCCATCACTCTAAGAGCGCGTGCTTCTGAAAAGGAGACAGACGACTCGGGGGGTAGCCGGACCTCCCAGGTTGGGGAACGGCTTGTCTCCCCGGGACACGGGCCCAGAGACATGAGGTCCCATGTGCGCATCCTCCTGCCCAAGCACTCCGGCCACTAGCTGACTGATTGATTGTTTTATAAATTCACTCATTGCCACCTCATTCAACCTCCTGACTCTGGGGCTTAGCCAGCAGGCCAAATTTGCTGCCAGATTTCTAAAGCCTTGAGACAGAGGTATGAAAGAAAACATAACAGACAGTACAATTTAGAACGTGAGCACAGAAGCTGCATTTCCAGGACCCCCACCCCCCTCACGCCCGTCTATTCTGTCTCGTTTCATCTTCTACCTTGGATACCATTACATTAACATGGAACACAGCCGCACTCTACCGGGGGGCTGAGTACATTAGGAAAGGCAGTTAATTCCTAACGTGGGACATCTGCCTGCGGGGAAGGCGACAGCCTCCCGACGTTAATGAAGGATATTGCCTCAGCAGCGCCTGGCACAGGTCGTCAGTCGTCATGAAGACGGTGTACGTGAGGAGGAAGTCGTCGAGGAGGGTCTCTGCAAAGGAAGAGAAACAAACACGAGGTGAGCAGAGCAGTGATAAGAAGGGCAGCTGCTCAGGCAGACCCAGAGCAGTGCAGGGCAGAAATACGCTAAATGCTGGTGAGAGGGGTTAGGGAGAACTTCAGCCACAAAACACATTCTTTACTAAAGGTAAGGTTTTTTAAAATGCCTTACACAAAATGCCTCAAGCAATGAGATTTATTTTTTTTTACTGCGAGACTCTAAACATGCAACTTTTGTCATCTTTTTTTTTCTCCCCAAAACATCATTTATATTTGTGGGTAAAGATGTTATGGAAACCAATGCATAAATCATGTGCTTTTAGAAATAAATTTTATAAGATTTCCGAGGTCTACAGTCTAGTCCTACGGGGAATGAAGCCCATGCGTTGTAATAAAATAAGGCTTCCTACAGCCATTTACCGAAGTCTAGGGCAAGAACAATGGATAATGAAACCCAGAGGGCACGTATCAGGTTCCAGGGCCATTCACCTCTATCTCTCAAATGTATCTGTAAGGAGCAGGGAAAGTGGTGAGTGATTTTCTTATTGCTGTGAAGAGAGACAGAGCTAAGTCCCTGCTCCTTCCTAAATCCTCTTCTGCCTCTTTAACCGCCAGGAACAGGCTCCATTTTTATTGCCTCTCTGCCTTGAGAGCTCTTTGAAGGGTCCGGCTGACGTGTTGATATGGGGCTGCTTATCTGGCCAACGCTGGCCTCGCATGCAACTTCCAACTGACAGAAAAGGTTCTATGCAGAGCCCAAAGCGGAGCTTTTGCCATAACGGTCTTTATCTAATCTCCCTGAGATCCATTGTACTGTATGATTTCATTTCCATATCTCTTATATTCATATTTGAAATAGTAATAAGTAATAAGGATAGTGGGCTTGTTGCATGCTCAAGAGCATTCATGCTCTCCAAAGCCTATACAATGTAAGTGTGTAGACAGAAAGAACTGTTGAAGACTGGGAAAATTCCAGAATGTTTAGAAACAACCAGTAACATTTACTTTAAAAGTCAATCAATGCAAAACAACAAGGCTATGTTTGCAAACCCAAAACTCTGATCGAAGAGGCTGTGGATTAGGACGTGCTGCATCAGCTGCAGGGGTTAATTTGTTTTTGCGTTTGTTTATGCTGCAGAAGGTCAAGGCAGTCTCCATCCACACAGGCCACTGGCTGCAAATGGCAATGTTTTACAACAACAACAACAATTGTGGTAATTTTTTCCAAAGGTAGTGATTTCTGTTAGATACATAACCAAGTTCCTTCTTGAAAAATAAATTTGACAGATGGCGGCTAATGTGTAAAATAAACTTATAATGTTGTATCACACTGTGACACGTGGACAGTCAGGGTCTAACTTACTGCTACGTTATGGCCACAGCACGTCTCAAACCGGCGTGCCTGGGCCTTGCACAGCCTCAGTCAGTCCAGCGCAAGGAGACTGCGGGGAGATGAGTGGACGGCACGGCCACACGCACGGAAGACCCAGGAGCGCTCTACCAGAGTCTCCGTCAGGGAAGTTTTAACTCTGCGCACAGAAAGGCGGGAGCAGCTTTATTCAAAGATCTGCTCCCCCCGCCCACCTGTTAACCTGGACACAAAAACTGATCATTGGTCACCCTAATGGAAAATTTGGAATATACATTTGAAACTTTGTCTCTTTCATTGAGGTTTTTAAACAGTTTAAGTAAAAAACAAAGGCATAATGTCTGAATCCTTGGGATATTCTGGAGCACAAATTGAACGCTATCACTCTGGCATGCTATTGAACAGCAATGCCCACAGACTGTAACAGTTTTCTCTACTAAACACAATGATGCAAATAGCATCTCTGGCTTGATTAGAAATCGAACTTTTTTTTTTTTTACATTCAATATTAGATACAGGTCACAAAGACCAGAGAGTAGCCTAGACTCTGTTTTAGATGAAAACCTGTACAGACTGGACCCAGTAAGATACAGAGGCACCCCTGGGTGACAGTGCTGAGAACCCTCCACACCCAGCACTGAAAATGCCTGACGTGACGTTCAGGGTCAGACTCTTTGAGATAGTCGCACACTTAGCTAATGTAATGAGGGAGAAAGGATTCTCTAATTCAGATTTACTCCACTCATAGCTGAGGCTAAGAAGAACACTGTTAACTTCGGTATAACGAGTCATTCCATTCTAGAACATCCTTAGATAATGAACTGAGGGACTAGTTGGATGGCAGCAAAACAATCTAGCATTCAGTTCAATTAATCAGCTCCCATATGACAGTATTTTGTTAAGGGCTTTGACCCAGAAATGTTATTTCCCCAAAGTTACCACAATATTTAATATTTAATGCATTTACCTAATTATCTCTCTGCCATAGAAATATTAAATAAAAACAATGAGGCCACACAAAAACATTTCCAGCTAAAGTCCTAAGGAAAAGAATAGCTAAAAATCATAACGAACAGATTCTCAATACTCATAACTCAAATCTTTTTCTGTTTAACTACCATATTGTTCTGAACATTTTCTATACATAAAGAGCTTTCCTTTATTTTTTAGCATTGTTTTTTTCTGCTATACATGAAAGTAATTGAATGATATAATCAAAATGGCACACTTCAAATAAGAGTACATTTTATAATAATCATGCTTCAAAAAAGGCTATCCCATTGGTATTTAAAGATATTTTTAGAACCACAATGGCTATGTAAATGATCCCCTGAAGACTATTAGAAAACAATACCCATTTAGAGAGACTAGCAAATCCATTGGCATCCACATTAAAACACTATAATTACCTATTATATCATATAATGCTCAATTAATAGTAATTTAAGACTAGGCAGAAAAGCACCATTGTGTATAAAAGCATCTTTCATTTAAGCAAATTCATAGTTGCAATGTATACTAACATTTTAATGAAAAGATGTATTCATTTTGATTTCTAATTCTGTGAATAGCTAGGTATCAATATACAAAAAAACTTGTCTTTGAAATTTTATTCATTAAATTAATCACTAAATCTAATCCCAGATTCTTGGCTCATCACTGACAAAGCTATTCAGCCATTCTTTTGGGAATAGCCCCTGTACCCAAAAATAAAAGAATATTTTTTGTAGCAGTTTTTTGAAATACACGAAGTACTCTTGGGGTCGAAAAGTAACACGCGGGCAACAACCAGAGCTGGAAGGCAAATGCCGTTACAGTTTCAGGTTCAGGTAACTTGAAAGAAAGCGCATCAAGGTGCAGTCAGAAACCCGGAGCCTTGACAGAAAGGGCTCTCAAGTCATCTCTGTAACCAGCCGCAACGCTTTTAACACAGGACGTTTCCCTAGCATCTGTTCCTGCTCTCATTTTAAGGCAGAAGAACGGACTGTTTTTATTTGGTTTTACTTGAATGTATAAATTATTTTCTCGTTCTCATTTCGAGTGTAGCAAACACTAATAATTTCCATTTTATTTCCGCAAAAAAAAAAAAAGTGTAGAGGCTCCTGGACTTGTGTCACGGGGGAACAGCAATGGGCGGGTGCAGATCCTTTCCAGGGTTCTATTATTATACATAAATGCAATCAAATTAGGGGAATTGAGCTAAATGTTTCCAAAAGATCTAAGCTTGATTTTTTTTGGTAAAAAAAGAAAAACCTCATAAAAACATACCCTAAAGTCTAGAAATCATAGGAATATAGAGTTACTTACACGCAATTAGAGAAATCGACTTCAGTTACTTTTCAACACTCACAAGCGAAATGCACCGCAATAACAAAACCACTCATCTGTTAAACGGAATTACCAAGAAAGCAAATGAAAAGAATTTTGACAGACAACAGCCTTACAGTAGCCATTTAATCTAAGTAAGGCGATGCGAATATTTGACATTTCTGTACCAACTCATATTCCCTCAAGTGCTGCTAGCAGTTTTGTTTCACCTGCATCCCCATCTCAGATGCAGTGGAATTTTAGGCACTCTAAAATATGTTCTACTTAACCTTCATTTCACGGAGCCAAGAAAAGGTTTGTGCTTGAAAGGTTCCAACTTACCATTATTTTTTGAGAAGCGGTGCCAAAAAGTACCATGTAATTTGATTAAGCACACACAAAACTTTTAATGTTCATGTTTGAATTATAGGTTAAAGTGCTTCACCATTAAAAGCTATTCTTCTTTCTCAGTGTATTTTATATTCCTGAACTATTTACCACAGCTCTTAAATTCACTCGATTCCTGCATATTTTTGCAATTTTACCAGAGTATTGCTTAGCCATTCTAAAACTACAAATATTATTTTTTTGATTCTGGTTTCACAAGGAAGGCTTATTATTTAATGCAGTTTCTACATCAAACTTTAAACCTCGCCCCTTTAATGACAGGAACTTATTACAGGCAGGGGGTGGGTGGCACTCTTCAAATAATGAAATTCGTTTTCATTTTAACCTGTAAAATGTGGCGTTGGAACCCCATCATTCCCTCCTTAGGAAAGAATGATTTGAATACAATAGGTATTATGTTCTTAGCTACAATATATTCCACATGCTGCCTTTTAAAAATGCCAAGAAGGGTCATGGAGCACCAACACAGTGCCCGCCTACCTTCCCCACACAGAGGGCCATGTTTGCAGGCCACCGGGCACTGAGAGAGGTGACAAACGCTAAGAGTTCCCGTTGTCCTAGCCTGACTCAGCTGTTCTCAGTGCCCAGGCACATTTATAATTATGGCCCACTTGTGGCTCATGCATGTGTCTGCCATGCTTGCCGGGAAGCTCAGAAAACAGTGTTAAGAATCAAAGGGAACCACAGAGCTGCATGTCCGTCCACCTGGGTAGCCTGAGATGTAATCCTTACCCTCTCCAGGCCTTGGCTGAGTCACCTGTAAAATGGGTGTCATGCCCACACCGAGTGGAACTGTAGTCAGGATTACACAGTGTATCTAAAGCATCTGGCAGAGAACCTAGCATATGGCAGGCACTCAATAAATACTACCTGCTCTTTATTTTCGTAAAATTCAGTTTAGATCCTGT